AAAAAAAAGATTTGGTGGTTTGTAGGGGTGGGGTGTGGTGGGGGGTTGGACCACATCTGGCTATGCTATGAGCTTACTTCTGGCTCTACTCAGAGGTCACACCTGGCACCTATCCCCTGGACTATCTCTTCATCCCCAAGATCTGTTTTGATGTAATCAATTATGGCTAGAAACTTCTCTCTAAGCATTGCTTCAGCTGCATCCCACAAATTCAAATATGCTTTTGCTTAGATTTATATTCAAATATTTTTAAATTTTTGTCAACTCTTCTTTGACCAATAACTCAGTTTATCTTTTCAAATAATCGAAGAATTTATAGATTTTTTCCATTATTGATTGCTAATTTAATTTGGTTGTGATCAATTAATTCATAGAATTTTATTCTTTGGAAGTTATTGAAATTTAATTTTATAGTATGACGTTTGGTCAATCTTGATATATGGCTCGTGTGTGCTTGAAAATATATATAATAACATTAAAATGTTTGTTTTGCTTGATATGAATCTAAAAAAAAGAATAACTCCTGTCTCTGTACTAAGAAATCACTCTTGGCAGTGCTCAGGGGACCATGTGTGATGCTGTGGGTTGAACCCGGGTCGGCCACATGCACGACAATTGCCCTCTCCACCACACTATCACTCCAGATTTTGTGCCTTTTTCCCAACCTTTTAAATCTGAGTCACTACACTTACTAAAGGATTCACGGCCCTCTTACTCCACCCTTGGACCCTGGGCTTGGCCCATCCACCTCCTATCTCTGTGCCACTGTGGGAGCATCAGGTAAAGGGAACCTACAGTATTGGCCCACCACAACCCCAAATAGCCCACAAGATCCAGCAGGGAGCAGAACCTTGAGCCTAATGCTTTTGAGCGGGCCAGAATTCACAAGGCATGTCCAGTGAGTTTAGAGTTGTTTAAAGTGTTCTGACACTGCTGCTTCTCCCGGAAGGAGCATAACATGAGGTCCCCACAGCCACCAGACTCTGTGCCAGGCTGTTCCACTCGGGGAGCCCCAGAGGGGGGCGGGTAGAGCCCTCCTAGCTCCAAGGGACCCAGCCCCGGCAGCCGAGCTCCACAACCCAACTGCCGCCAAGCTCAAGGCCGTTCCCCACACGCTCAGGCTGATCCTCACGCATGAGTGAACATATTCCTGGACCGACACATCATAAGACACTCCCTACCCATGCTCCATAAATACCACACCACATTTGATGGGGTTCAGACAGTAGGCAACAAATCATAGAGGGCAATATATGTATATATATAATATGCATACATACATATTTCCAGATATATATGCCAAAGCTCACATCACCCAAACTTTAACAACATGTTAGTGATATCCCATAGAATGTCTTAATGGCTTCTGCCAAAATAGAACAATCTTCACACTGTTTGCTATATGGACACTTTTTAGTGATCATGTTTGGCTGTTCTTCATAACAGACAACACAAAATATGTTATTTCGTTTGTGTTTTGGGACAGGGCTTGGGGCTTGGGATGGAAACATCCCGAATTTGGTGGTGGGAAGATATAATGGTGGTGGGATTTTTGTTTGAATATTCAATGTAATCAAATATTGTGAAGTAACTTACAAGATAAAAATTATTAATAAATAAAATAAATTAAAAAGTGTTCTAAGAGCCAGGAGACAGGACAGCATTTAGGACGCTTGTCTAGCTGGGGCAACATGGTCAAATCCCCATCCCCAGCACCATGGGGTTCCCCCAAGCAACACCAGGTACAGCCCTGGAGAGTCCCAATACTGGAGAATGACCCTGCAGGTCCCTAGCAGCACTAGGCTAGCCTGGGCATGGACCTGGATTTTTATCTTTTGGGGTCTGAGGCCCAAGGAGCATCGCATCCTTGGGCACCCCCAGTGGAACTCCCAGACCTCCCTTAGCCCTGCTCAGGAGTCGCCCCACAAATGGACACAACTGTGGGTTTAATGTCTTTCAATGACAGAAGTTTACTTTGTCCACCATGATCCCATCAGTATTGTTGTTAACTTGAATGTGCTTTGAGGACTCCCCAAGAGGTGGTCCCAGGTCATCACTGTGGCTGTGGAAAGTGCCAGAAACTGTCTAAGCAGTTCCCAAGCTGCACATGCAGAACATGGGCAGGAGCCAAGAGCCAGGTTCTGCGGGGCCAGGAGCTTGCTCAACTGGAGGGTAATTCTCTCTCTCTCTCTCTCTCTCTCTCTCTCTCTCTCTCTCTCTCTTTGCTTTGTGGGTCACACCCGGTGATGCACAGGGGTTATTCCTGTCTCTGCACTCAAGAGTTACCCCTAGTGGTGCTAAAGGGACCATATGGAATGCTGGGAATCAACTCGGGCAGGCCGGCCTCATGCAAGGTAAATGCCCTACCCGCTGTGCTATCACTCCAGCCCCTGTAGAGTAATTCTCTGCAAAAGAAAAATAATAGTTGGGGTTGGAGAGCTTGTTAGAGGGTGGGGCCTTGCCTGTGGTCAGCCTGGGCTTAACCCCTGGCACCACAAGTGGTTCCCCGAGTCCCACCAGGAGTGATCCCTATGCATAGAGTCAGTAGTAAGTCCTGAGCACATCAGGGTGTGGTCCAGAAAACAAAACAAACGAGTGAGAAAAAGAAAAATTGGGGCCAGAGTGATAGTATAGGACTTAAAGCACTTACCTTGCATGCAGTCAACCCCAGTTTGATCCCTCTCACTGCATAGAGTTCCCTGAGCACAGGCAGGGATCAGAGCCAGGAGGCAGCACTCCTGAATGTGACCCAAAACCCCCTCAAAAGAGTAGACTTTAGACCGAACATGATTACCACTCAATGCCTCTTTTGCATACCACAGCACCCAAAAGGAGAGAGAGAACGAGGGGGAGTGCCCTGCCACAGAGTCAGGGTGGGATGGGGGGACGGGGGGTGGGAGGGATACTGGGATTAGTTGTGGTGGAGAATGGGCACTGGTGGAGGGATGGGTATTCGATCATTGTATAACTAAAACCCAAGCACAAACATTTGTAAATCTGAAAAAAAAACCCTCAAAAGAAAAGTTACATATAAAATATATATGTATATATGTGTGTGTATGAATATAAATATTTACTAAGAAAACAATCACTTAGAAATATAAAATTTTAAGAAGCAGCAGACAACACAAAAGTCATAAAACCTAGAAAGAAGACTCCATTACTCATTGCCTAATATGCCTCTGTAGTACTTTGTCAAAATTCGAAAGGATTCAGAATCCTGAAAAACATGCCCAGTGCATCTGGGATGAAGGCATTTGTAGGAACAATCCAAACACACTTGAAGATGCTCCCCCGTGGTGCTCAGCCCCATCATTTTGTAACCAGATTCCGCTGATACTACAACATAGCCTTATTGATGAGGGCATGTAGGAGTTTTGTCACTAGCACACTTGCTTCTTCAAGCATTTCTCTGCGTTGGTGGTAAGTCTGTGTACCATTTGGCTGGAACCAGCAGACTTTGTCAGGGTAGGATGCATCAGACACACTAAACAGTCTCATCCCTCCCGCCCACCCCCCTGAAATTTATAAACTGCCTCCGTGCTCCTGCGTGTCAGCATGATCTCCGGGTAGATCCGAGATTAACTCTTCCGAAGGAGGCAGGGTTGCTGGGACTGACACCCGGCCTCTCCAAGGATCTTATTTTCTTGCCCTTTGGAAGATAAGAACTTTAGAGTGGGAACTTCCAAGCTTTTTTTTTTTCTGGGTGTTTTTTTTTTTTGGTTGGAGGCCACACCCCGCTGTGCTCAGGACTGCCTCCTGGTTCTGAGCGCAGAGATCACTCCTGGCAGTGCTCAGGAACCACATGGGATGCCAGAGATCAAACGGGTGGACCGGGTGCAAGGCAAATGCCCTACCCACTGACCGCTCCGGCCCCGCAAGCCCTTCCCCGTCCCTCCTGCCTCCTCCCTGAGGTGAGGTGCTTAGGGATGTTCGCACAAGGATGAAGTTCCCCTGGGGGACACCTCGGGTGTGAGTGTTCCCGAAAGCCACTTGCATGCTGGGGAGTCCAGGTAGCTGGAGAGGGCCCGTGAGTTACAGGCCCCTCGAGCCCTCTGAGCCCACATGGTTTCCGCAGCTTAACCCTCTCTCGTTGGCCAGCTGCTCAGAATGAATCAGCCTCGCCAACTTCCCCAGCCTAGGGGAATCAGGCTGCCCGGAAGCTGAAACAGAAAGACAGAGGTCTTGGCCAGGGGGGCTCAGCCCTCTGAGGTGCCCAGAGATCAGCAAAACGTGGGTGCCAAGAACCTGTTGCAGTGCTGGATGATGGGGAACCCCTGAAAGAAATCAGCTTCCTGATGAGTGTGTCCTTGACCAGAATCAGGAGGAGCAGGTTGGATGTGAGGCCTCTGGTGGGCTAGTGACAGACCCTCTTACATACCCCCAAAGCATCAGAGCCCCGAGGCTCCCTGTGCCCCGAAAACCCCATACAGGGTGCGTGCCCAGCCTCAGGAGAGTTTGGGTGAGGGGCTGGAGCCATAGCACAACGGAGAGGGACACGGCCGACCCAGAATTGGTCCCCAGCATCCCAGATGTTCCCCCGAGCACCACCGCCAGGAGGAATTCCTGAGTGCAGAGCCAGGAGTAATCCCTGTGCCTAGCCGCCGGATGTGACCCCCCCAAAAAAGAGAGTTTGGGTGAAGCGAAGGCCAATGCCGGCCCCAGGACGCAGCAGGCGGCACAGGGTTGGCTGAGTGTCGGCCTGTGTCCCCACCGCCCCCCTCCCCTGGCCCCGTGTCCCTGTGGGGCAGCACCATCAAGAGGGGGGTGCAAGGGCTCTGGCCCTCGTGGTGTGCGGCCATCTGGACCAACCTGCTGCCCCCCCCACCCGCTGCCGGGCTGAGGATTAGAGCGGGTGCTGGATTACCTCCTGGACGTCAGCCCAGGCTGCAGGAGGCTTGGGGACGTCTAGGGACGGGGTGACAGGCAGACAGAGCTCCCTGGCTGGGACCACACCCAGACTCTTGGTTCCTCCCAGACGCCAGCTGCACCCGAGAAGGATGCCCTGCCCCCGCGCGCCCTGGGCCATCCCACCGAGGACCCCGGTTATCCTGTGGTTGCTGCTGTCCACTACTTCCCTACCCCCCACCCGGGGACAGACCAAGATCCCTCTGGAAACGTAAGCAGGTCACCCCATAAACCCTTTAACCCTTCCCTCCCCACCAATCCTCCAGCCTCCCACCTCCCTTGGGGCTGTCTGGGGCTGGGGCTAGTTCTCATCATGAAACCTGATCTTCACGCTCCCCTCTTCCCCACTAAGGGATTCCCCTGTCCCACCCCCTCATTCCATCCAAGGGACAGGCAGGGCTCGGGGCCCATTGGGGAGGAGGCTCCTGCCAGGATCATGGCCGAGATTGGGGGCTGTGTTGACTGGAAAAAGCTCCTTCTGGTTCCCCCGGGTCTGTAGGAAACTCTCTGTTGTGACATTCTGCAAGAGCAAAGCCTTTCCCAAGCGACAAAGTGACTTGGGAAATTTACCCCCGTGGTTCCGGCCTTCCCTGCTCCATCTCTCTCCCTCCTTCCAGACCCAAATTGGACCCCGGGTCCCTAGACCAGCTCCAGAAAGGAATGCAGTGTCGGCCTACATAGGTACACGTTTCCATCAGACCCAGGAACGTTAAAAACAGACCCAGGAGCTTCTGATTTTAACCCCCTCCCTCCGGTGGTCCTGTGAGAGAAATCTCTGGCACCTCTGGGGGACAGAGTCCTAGGGACCCCAGGGGGGACCTGCTCAGCCCAGCGCCCAGTGAAGCCCCTGCATGAGAGCCACGCTGCTCTCCAAAGCCAGGCTTTGGGGAACCACACGTGGGAGCAGCCACACCGCATGGGCTGAAGCCAGCGGCTTACTCGTGAGTTCAGGTCTGCGCAGTGGTGAATCCAGGGCTCTGGCTCCTTTTTTAAAAATTTTTATTTTATTTATTTATTTTTTATTATTTATTTATTTTTTTATTAGTGAGACACCATGAGGTACGGTTGTAGACTTACAAATTTTGTGCTGGGTTTCAATTATACAATGATCAAATACTCATCCCTCCACCAGTGCCCATTTCCCACCACCACGGGTCCCAGTATCCCTCCCACCCCCCATCCCCCCATCCCACCCTGCCTCTGTGGCAGGGCCTTCCCTTTTGTTCTCTCTCTCTCCTTTTGGGTCCTGTGGCTTGCAAGAGAGGCATTGAGTGGCCAAACATGACTGCCACTCAATGTCTCTTTTGGCTCCTTTCTTTTTTAATGCGTGGACAGTGTTAGGGACCAGACAGATGGTCTCTTTAAGTCCTCACCAGCACCGCCTGAGGGGGTTAAGGAGAATCATCGTCTGCAATCCAGGGACCAAACTCAGTGCGGTGGACGACTCCCCACCAAGTTGGCGGAGCAAGTAGCCAGAAGGGCTGGCGCTTGAGTTCAGTTCAGCCGGGCCCTGCGCCTTCCCATTAGGTCCCCCGGGGTCAGCCCGGAGAAACGTGTAGGGGTTCGGGAAGACAGGGAGAACGTCATGCCCAGAACAAACAGCGGTTACGGTAGCGGCTAACTCCAGGAACGTGCTGAGTGCCAAGTACAGATGGCTGGAGTCCAAGTCTTCCTTGAAAAGAATCAGAGTGAACCAGAGAGCAAAGAGAGAGAGAGAGAGAGAGAGGGGGGGGGGGGCTAAGATTAAGGCCCACATGGCCTTCGTTGGAGCCCTAGACCCCTGCTCCCCGTCTCTGCTACCACATCCTCTAAGTCCTTCCTTTCCCCAGGACCCCTCCCGGTTCATGTCCAGTTACACCCTGCTCCCCCTATCCCTTCGCCCCGCCGCCTGCTTTCTACTGCCCGAGTCCCCCGCAAGTGTTCATTGCCTTTGGCCCATAGATTTTTCTGGTCTCGTTCTGCTGGACTCTTGTTTTAGACTCTGAGTCTTGATGTCTCAATTCCCGTCACCTGGTGGCCCCCGGGTGTCCGAGTTCCAACCATGTGCTCATGACCCCTTGACACTCATGACCCCTCGACCCCACTTCCTCTGAACAGCTCTTCCTGAACATTGGGCAAAGTCTTTTAAAACTTTTATCGAATCGTTCTAGATTACAAAAGTTACAAGGTTACTCGCGATTGAGTTCCAGGCATACGACGTTCCCACGCCAGTCCCTTCAGCAGTGTCTCCATCCCCCCGAGTCCCTCCCATGCCCACCCCCTCTACGGCAGGCCCTTTCCTTTGCTTCCTCTCCATCCTTTTCAGCACTGTGGTGTTTCTAACTCTGCTGCTGGTAGGGTATCATGCATTTCCTCCTCCAGGGTGGCCACTTCCCTGCACCATTGCTGCAGTGTTCCCTCCCTGGCCTGTCTGCCTCTCCCCTGCTCCCGGTGACAAACTTCCTCCTGAGGACCATCCCGCAAGCTCTTGGCTTCTCTGGCCTTTGGGCAATGTGTTAATCCCAAAACTCTGTATTTAAATACCCCCCATGTGAGAGAGATCATGTTTTGTGTCTTTCCCTGTGACTCACTTCACCCAGCTTGATACTCACCAGACCTAACTACATAGGAGAAAATTGCATGACTTATCTTTCCTTATGGACGAGTACTTTTCCATTGGGTTTTTGTACCATAGGTTCTTTTTTTTCTTTTTTTTTTCCTGTTGAGTCACACCCGGTGATGCACAGGGGTTACTCCTGGATCTGCACTCAGGAATTACACCTGGCGATACTCAGGGGACCATATGGGATGCTGGGAATTGAACCGGGGTTGGCCGCGTGCAAGGCAAACGCCCTACTACCTGCTGTGCTATCGCTCCAGCCCCTGTACCATAGATTCTTTATCCAGCCATTGGATATATTGTTTTTGGATATTTGTCTTATTTTTAGATTTCAGCGATCGTAAATAGCGCTTTGATAATAGACAATTGCAGATATCTGGGGGCAGAGAATTAGTACAGCAGGTAGAGTGTTTGCTGCAATGAGTGATCCCTGAGCATAGAGCCTAGAGGGTAACCTCTGAGCACTGTCAGGTATGACCCCAAAACAAGCAAATAAAAAGTGTGGATGTCTCTTTCATATTGTGTTTTTGGGGACTTTGGAATAGGCAAAGTTTTTAAATTCCAGTCGTGTGTCTCAAGATAGAAAGAGACGGATGCCTTCAACAGTTTTGCAGTGCACGACCTGTCCAACAGCACTCAGTCACCCTGCAATGAGAGCAGTCATTGCCTTCCACCCACCCCACGTTGTTCTCCTGGATCTTTCTGACAGTCTTAATTTTATTCAATAACCTCACTGCGAGTTCAACCCCCTGGAAATTGTCTTTCATTCCTCTCAGCTCTTTCTACCTGGAATTTCCTCGGCTGGGCTGAACTCTTCCAGAAATCTCATGCTGAAGTCAGATCCCCTTCCCTTCCCAGGAAGGCTCCTGCAACCCCTTCCAGCCGAGTCCTGAGCGCCTTCAAACACATAGTGGGCTATCTGCACAGGAAGGGAGCATTGTGGGCCTGCCAGCACAATGTAGGGCCATTCATAGTCGACCAAATGCTGGCCTTGAAATGGTTGTGAGTGTGAGTACCCCTGGGAGGGACACAGACCTGTAGAAAAGACCCTGAGTGCCCACTGCAAGCTCCCGCCGCCCGTCTAGATGAGTGGGGAGGGTTTCTCTGGGCTTTCTGCACAGCATGAGATGAGGCACCCTTGGGTGCTCCCTGCCTGACCGGGTGCCCCTGCCTCTGGCTACATGCCTCACGCTGAGACTCCATCAGAATAGGTTCTGAGGCCCACGGGAGCCTGAATCAGGGAACATGATGGGGTTACTCCTGGAACCCAGACTCAGCGGTTCTTCTTGGTCTCCTTCCCTGACATGAGGGAACAGTGGCTCTTTGTAGGACTTTTCTGGGTGGGGGGCAGTATGTGTGTGTGTGTCTTTGTGTCTGTATACGCATGCAATTTGTCAGTGTGTCATTGTGTGACCTCCAGAAATTGCATGGATCTCGGTACTTGTGTGTTTGTGTCTGCACCAACTCATATCTATGTGTGTGTGGTCACCTGATTTGTAGGTGTACGTGTGTACAGAGTATAGGTGTGTCTGCATGGGCACACGTGTGCAATACATCCGTAGGTCTGTATACATGTCTTTGTGCCTATCTGCATGTTTGTATTCATGTTCACCTATGCATACATATTATTTTGTGAACCTCTGTGTCTCTGTACGAGTGTACATGTGTGTGCCAGCATCTCTGTATATCTCCACGTGTGCACATGTGTGTGGGTATCTGTGTGTCTATATCTAACTATGTGTGCAGGTATCTGGGTCTCTGTATCAGTGTGCATGTATGCGTGTGTATCTGAGCATGTGAGTGTGAATGCGTGCAGGTATCCCCGTGTCTGTATCTGAGTGTGTGTGTGCTGGTATCTGTGCGTCTCTTTATCGGAGTGTGTGTGTGAGGGTATCTGTGTGTCTGTATCTGAATGTGTGTGTGGTTATATATGTGTCTGTGTGTATGCAGGTATCTGTGTCTCTTATGCAGTTATCTCTGTCATTGTATCTGAGTGTGTGTGTATGTGGGTATCTCTGTGTCTGTATAAATGTGAGCATGTGTGCTATCTCTAAGTCTCTGTGTCTGAGTGTGTGTTGGGGGTGGTGATTTGTGTCTCAGTATCCAAGTATGCATGCAACTGTGGGCATTTGTTTCTCTCTATCTGTGTATGCGTGAATGTGTGGATATCTGTGTGTCTATATCTGAGTGTGCGTGTGTGTGGGGGGGGGTATCTGTGTGTGTTTCTGTGTGAGTATATGTATATATGTATGTGTATGTGTGTGTGTGTGTTTCTACAGGTATCAGTATCTCTGTATCTCAGTGAGTGTGTGTATCTGTGTCTCTGTGTCTCTGTGTCTCTGTGTCTGAGTGGCTGTGTTTTGAGTATTTGTGTGTCTTTATATGAGTGGGCATGTGTGCCGGAATCTGTTCGTATGTATCCAAATGTGTATTTCTGAGGGTTTCTATGTGTCTCTGTAACTGAGTTTGTGTGTGTTTGGTATCTGTCTCTCTGCTTCATAGTGAGTGTGTTAGGGAGGATTATCTGTTATCTATATCTGAGTGTACGTGTGTGTGTGTGGCTATCGTGTGACTATATTTAAGTGTGTGTGTGCATGCAAGTATATGTGTCTGTGTGTGTGTGTGTGTCTTCAGGTATCTATATCTCTGTATCTGAGTTTGTACGTGCACATATCTATGTGTATTGTGTGTATGTTGTATATGTATTTATGTGTCTCTGAGTGTACTTGTGTTTGGGTGTCTTGGTGTCTGTATCTGAGTGTGCATATGTGCAGGTATTTGTGTCTCTATATCTGAGTGTGTGTGTATCTGTGTGTGTCTGTATCAGAATTTGTGTATATGTGTATCTGTGTGTCTGTCTCCGAGTATGCATTTGTGTGAGTTTCTATGTGTCTGTGTCTGAGATTGAGTTTATATTTGGCTATATCTGTCTGTATCTAAGTGTGCAGGTTTGTGTGAATATCTGATCATCTTTGTCTGAGTGTGCATTTGCATAGGTATCTGTGTGTCTGTATCTAAGATTGAGTGTATATACATCTATCTGTGTGTCTGTATCCGAATGTGCATGTCTGAGAATTTCTATGTGTCTCTGTAACTGAGTTTGTGTGTGTTCAGGTATCTGTGTCTGTTTCTGACAGTATGGGTTATGGCAGCTAATCTGTGTGTCTGTATTCGAGTGAGTGTGTGTGTGTTTATGTGCTTGTGTGTGTGTTTGTGTTTCTCTGTCTCTATATCTGAGCCTGCGGGAAGGGCAGATTTGAATCTCTGTATCTGAGTGTGCATATGTGTGGGTATCTACAACTCTGTATATGAGTGTATGTGTGTGTGTTTGGGTATCTGTGTGTCTCTGAGTGTGTGTGTCCGAGGGTACCTATAGTATGTCTGTCTCTGACTGTGTTTGTGATGGATATCTGTGTTCTGTATATCAAAGTGAGTGTATTCTTGTATCTGTGTGACTGTATGTGAAGTTGGGTGTGTGCGGATGTCTGTGTCTCTGAGTATGTGTGTGTGTGTGTGTGCAGGTTTCACTGGGTCTGCATTTGTGTATTAATGTATGGGAAACTGTGTGTCTCTATCTGATTGTGGGTGTGTGCAGGTATTTGTGTTTGTATCTGAGTGTGGGCGTGTGTGCTGTTATCTGTGTGTATGTATTCGAGGACTGATGGGTGTATGTATCTCTATTTCTGTATCTGAGTGTGTGGGGGTATCTGTGTGTCTGTATCATAGCATGTTTGTTTGTGTGGGTATCCGTGTGTCTGTATCTAAGTGTGCATGTGTGCAGGTATCTGTGTGTCTCTGGTTGTGCATGTGTGATGATATCTGTGTGTTGCTGTATCAGAGTGTGTGTTTGAGGGAGGGGTATCTATAGGTCTCTATCTGAGTTGAGCGGGTATCAGTGTATCTGTGTCTGAGTGTGTGTGGGTATTTGTGTGTCTGTATCTGAGTGTGCATTTGAGTGGGTTTTTGTGTCTGTATATGAGTGTGTCTGTTTGTGTGGATATCTCTGAGTCTGTATCTGAGTGTGTGTTTGTGTGGGTATATTGTGTGTCTGTACCTGAGTGTGTGTGTGCAAGTACTTGTGTGTCTGTATCTGAGTGTATGTGTGGACATCAGTGTGGTTGTATTTGAGTGAGGGTGTGTGTATGGGTATCTGATTGTCTTAAATGAGTGTGTAAGTTTGGATATCTGTGTCTTGTATCAGAGAATGCATTAGTGTGTGGGTATCTCACTGTATCTAGAGTGTGCATGTTTGTGTGTATCTGTGTCTCTATCTGAGTGTACATGTGTGGGGATGGGTATCTAACTGTTTCTAAGTGTGCGTGTGTTGCAGGTAGCTGTATGTCTAGGATTGAGTGTGCATGTGTGAGGGTATTTGTGTATCGCTATATGTAGGTGTGTGTGTGCAGGTATCTGAATTTTTTTTAATTTGAGTGTGTATTTGAGGGCTGGAGCAATATCACAGTGGGTAAGGCATTTGCCTTGCACACGGTCAACCCGGAAGATCTGGGTTCGATTCCTCTGCCCCTCTCGGAGAGCCCGGCAAGCTACCGAGAGTATCTCGCCCGCACGGCAGAGCCTGGCAAGCTCCCCGTGACGTATTCGAGATGCCAAACACAGTTACAACAAGTCTCATGATGGAGATGTTACTGGGACTGCTCGAGCAAATAGATGAACAACGGGAGGACAGTGCTGCAGTGCTGCAGTGTATTTGAGGGAGTCTGTGTGTGCGTTTGTGTGCATATTAGTGTGTCTGAATCTGTGTGTTTATGTGTGAAAATCTGTGTGTCTGATCTACCGTGCATTTGGTAGGCATCAAAGTGTCTGTACCTGAATGTGTGTGTGCAGGTACTTGTGTATCTCTATTTGTCCATTTGTAATGGTATCTGTCTGTCTGCCATTGGGTGGAGGGAGGGGGGACCATAATTATCTCTGTACCTATGTGTGCTTGAGTGTGTGGATATCTGTGTGTCTATAACTGTGTGTGTATGTGTGTGTTGGTATCTGAGTGTATGTATCTGAGATTGTGTTTATGTGTGGGTATATTTGCCTCTGTATCTGAATGAGCATTTGAGTGGGTATCTGTGTGTCTGCATCAGAGTGTGCAATAGAAAGTATCTATTTGTCTGTATCTGAGTGTGTGTGTGTGTGTTTGGGTATATATGTGTCTCTGTATCTGAGTTTGTATTCAGGTATCTGTGTCTCTGTTTATGAGTGTGTGTGTATGTGTGTGTGAGGAAATGTATCTATGTTTCTGTATCTGAGTATAAGTCAGTGTGGGTATCTATCACTCTAATCTGACTGTGTGTTTGTGTGAGAGTGTATATGTGTCTCTCAGTGCATATGAGTGTCTTCAGGTATCAGTATCTCTATATCTGAGTGTGTTTGTGCAGGTATCTGTGCCAGTATCTGTGTGTTGTGTGTGTGCAGGAATCTGTGTATTTGTATGAGTGTGGGTGTGTGCGGGAATATGTGTGTATGTATATGAGGGTTGATGTGTGCGTGTAACTCTATCTCTGTATCTGAGTGTGAGTGTGGATATCTGTGTGTTTGGATTTGAGTGTGCATGTGTGTCTGTATCTGAATGTGTGTGTCTGTGTGTGTATGAGGGTGTCTGTGTCACTGTATCTGAGTGTACATGCATACGATTATCTCTGTCATTGTATCTGAGTGTGCGTGTGGGGGTATCTCTGTTTGTACAAGTGTCTGTGTGCATTCATCACTGAATCTCTGTGCCTGAGTGTGTGTGGGGGGGAGGTATCCGTGTCTCAGTATTGAAATGTGTGTGCATGTGTGGGCATCTCTTTCTCTGCACATGTGTATTCGTAAGTGTGTGGATTTCTGTGTGTACATGTGTGTATTTATGTGGGCATCTGTGTCACTGGATCCGTGTGTGTCTGCAAGTATATGTATATATTTATGTGTCTCTATCTATGTGTGTATGTATCTACAGGTATCAGGATCTCTGTATCTTAGTGAGTGTGTGAATGTGAGAGTATCAGTGTCTCTTTCTCTATGTGTGTGTATCTATGTGACTCTGTGTCTGAGTGTGTGTGTGTATGTGTGTCTGTATCTGAGTGTGCATGTGTGCCAGTATCAGTTTATCTGTATCCAAGTGTAAGTTTCTGAGGTTTTCTATGTGTCTCCCTACCTGAGTTTGTGTGTGTTCTGTATCTGTGTCTTTGTTTCTTAGTGAATATGTTAGGGAGGGTTATCTGTGTATCTATACTGAGTATACATGTGTGTGTGTGTGTGTGTGTGTGTGGCTATTGTGTGACTATAACTGAGTGTGTGTTTGTGAGTATATGTATGTGTCTCTCAGTGTGTGTTTGTGTGTATTCAGGTATTCGTATCTCTATATCTTAGTATGTACACATATCAGTGTCTATTGTGTGTGTGTATGTGTCTATGTGTCTCTGTGTCTGAGTGTGCTTATGTTTGGATACGTTGTATGTCTGTATCAGAGTGTGTGTATGTATGGGCGGGTATCTGAGTCTGTATCAGAGTGTACATTTGTGAGGGTATCTGTGTGTCTGTGTCTGAGTGTGCATTTGCGTGGGTTTCTATGTGTCTGTATTTGAGTGTGCATGTATTTGTGGGTCTCTCTTTGTCTGTATCTGAGTGTGCATTTCTGAGGGTTTCTATGTGTCTCTGTATCTGAGTTTGTGTGTCTTTGTGTGGGTATTATTTTAGTGTCTGTGTCTGAGATTGAGTGTATATATGTCTATCTGTGTGTCTGTATCTGAGTGTGCATGTCTGAGAGTTCCTATGTGTCTTTGTAACTGAGTTTGTGTGTGTTCAGGTATCTGTGTCCCTGTTTCTGGCAGTATATGAATGGCAGATAATCTGTATGTCTGCATCCAAGTGTGTCTGAGTGAGTGCATCTGTGTCTGAGTCTGAGTCTTTGTGTCTGAGTGTGTGTGTGTGTGTGTGCATGTGTGCAGTTTTGTGTGTCATGTATCTGAGCCTGTGGGAAGAGTAGATTTGAATCTCTGTATCTGAGTGTGCATATGTGTGGGTATCTATGTCTCTGTATCTGAGTGTGTGTGTGTGTGTGTGTATGTTTGGGTGCCTGTGTGTCTCTGAGTGTGTGTGTCTGCAGATATCTGTATGCCTGTATCTGACTATGTTGTGTTTGGGTATCTGTGTTGTATATGAGTGTGGGTGTGTTTGTTGATCTGTGCTTCTATATGTGAGGTTCTGTGTGTGTGTGTGTGTGTGTATGTGTGTGGGTATCTGTGTCTGTATCTGAGTATGTGTGTGTGTGTTGTATGGATTTCAGTGTGTCTGTATCTGAGTGTGCATGTGTGTGGAGGTATCTGTTTCTGTACCTGAGTTGTGTGTGTGTGTGTGTGGGGGGGTAGTATCTCGTGTGCCCTCGCCTTGTTCCTGGTCTCACCTGCGTGTGCATGTGCGTCTCGTCCCCGCAGAGTGAAGCTGTGGGCTGACACCTTCGGCAGAGAGCTGTATGACACTGTGACCAAGTTTTCAGGCTCCCTCTTGCTGCAGAAGGTCAGTAGCCTCTCCTAGGAGCTCCGGGGTGGGCGGCAGGGACCCCTTTCCTTTAAAGAAGAGTTCCAGTTGTCCCACGGTCGCTGGGTGGGGTCTTCGAGATCTGTCTGGTCCAATCCCTTGTGATTCACCCACCAGAGAAACTGAGGCCCAGGGCAGACTGCGCCCACGGCAGGCCGGAGCCCGAGTCCCGGGAGCTCTGGGAAGTAAATACCAGGAGGAAATAAGACGGTGATTGATTAGTGGGGTGGGGGGCATGAAAGGGAGGGCGCCCCAACACGTGGCCGGGTTGGAAACTGGGAAGGGGCCTGGCTGGAGAGGGAGGCAGGGGACCCAGGGGGCGCGCAGAGGACGAGAGAGCCACCCGGTCTGAGGTGCGGCTACGGGGCGGGGTGTGAGCCGCCTCGGGCCTCCAGGCCTGAACCTGTCCCCCAGAGTCCCTCCAGGCGGGAGACCTGAGCCCACGGGGGCAGGGAGTAGGGGAGCACCGGGCACTGTGGCGATGGTCCGGCTCCCCCAGCCAGACCCAACCCGACCCGACCCGACCGGGGTCTCCCTCACCTCTTCCTGCGTCTCCACACCTGGCAAACTTCTCTTGCAGCTGAAACGCCGCCTCCTTCCCCTCTGACATTTACCACTCTGGGGCCGCTTTTAATAATAGCTTAGAGCTCTCTATTATTACCAGCGCTCAGAACTTGGCATTCGTGCTGCAACGCTCGCTCGCTCGCTCGCTCGCTCGGCGCCAGGCTTGAGGCGAGCAGCACTTGGCCCTTTTGCGCTGGAGTGGAAGCACGACCCGAGCTCCTGAACGGCCTCCCGGGCTGCCCCTTCGACACCCACGTGCTCTGTGACCAGTGGGGCAGGGTCCCCTGCTCTCCGGCAGCCCCTGCAGCGGGTATAGCAGTGACAGATAAGACTAACCTTCCACTAGACAACCCCCCAACACACACACACACACACACACACACACGCACACACTGCAAAGCACTTTCCCATTCTGCTTTCCCATCTGTGGCCTCAGCGGCAGGAGACAGACAGAATAATGACTATAAGACCATCTGGGGAGAGACCGTCTCCTGGCCTGTGAAGTCTGGCGCCACCTCTACTGCCACCTCTTACCACCGGGAACTGGCGAGGGTCACATGACCTGAGCCGCGAGGCCTGGGTGACCACTCCCCTCTGAGAGGCGGATTCCCACAGGCCCGGAGTAACTGCAGAGACAACTCCCTTGTGTCCTGGGCCTCTGGGCAGCATAGCAGGTGGTGGGGTGGGATGGTGTCTGCAGGGGCGGGAACTGAAGTTCAGGGAGGTTTTCCACTTTCCTGGGGTTGGGGCGAGGGGAGAGAGGGGGCAGGCAAAGAATATGGGACCTAGGAGTGCCCCAGGCTCTCAGCCCCTGGCTGTGTGTCTCTGAGAAAGTAGAGCCACCTCTCTGAGCCTCAGTCAGCTCCCTCGGAAGGCTCTTCACAGTGGAGCACCCAGACAGAGCCCCCGGAGGAGAGCGAGGTCAACGGCTGGAGTAGGGAGAGTTGCCTCTAATCATGACTGACCCTGATTCAGTCCCCAACACGCTGTAACAGTCTCCTGAGCATTGGCAAGAGCAAGCCCTGAGTGTCGCTGGATGTGGCCCAAAAGCCAAAAAAGGAAGAGAGAGAGACAGACAGAGTGAGAGACCCAGAGAGAGACGGAGAGACGGAGAGGGCTGTTCCTGTTCGCAGGGGAAGAGACTCATTTTACTCATGGGGGGAGCGGCAGCATTTATGAGCACTGGGTGGGAACAGCGCTGGGGGGGGGGCGGGGAGCAAGTAGCCCAACCCTGCGGCCGTGTGACCACGTCCCCCTGTGCCGTGTTTCTGAACAGAAATACAAGGACGTGGAGCCCAGCCTGCAGATCCAGGAGGTGGATGGGCCGGGGCTGGTGAGGAAGTTCTCGGAGGACATGGAGGCCATGCTGCTCAGGAAGGTGGAGGCCATCCAGGTACACGCAGCCCAACGTGGAACCCCCAGGTCCCCGTCCCCACCTCACGGGCGGCAGCTCCTGATCACCCCCAGGAGTCAAGAGAGCCAAGCTGAGGGCGTGGGGCTGAGCTCCACCCTGGGGGGGGGTGGGGGGGAACCATAGGGAGGTTACCCCCCACAGAGCTGGGCTGGGCATCATCTCCCTGGAGGGCTTCCCTCCCACAGGGCTGGGTGCCAGAGCTATGATGGGAGCTAAGCGCCCATCTTCCTCCCCGTGTCCTCACCCCCTACCCCCTCCTACCTCCTGGCTCTGAGGGACCCCGGGCTGAATGAGTCCCCTGTGGTCTCTGCGCCCGCCAGATGGCTGCGGGGCCCCACCCTGGCCTGCAGATGCCATGTGGTGCCCAGGTGTGCTCAGCCAGGGACCTGCCTCCCCCAGACCAGCGTCCCCTCCAGTGACGCCTGGAAACCCGAAAGGCTGGGGTGGAGACAGCACTGCAACCAGTGTGAGGGCGAGGAAGTGTCTGAGCATGCAGCAAGCACAGGGGGAGTGCTGGAGGGGGCGGGGGGGTCCCCATGAACACATCCCCGGATGGACTCTTCCTCTCCCCTACAAGGGATCTTTAGACTCCAAACTCAGTTGTGAGCTGCGTGGGGACAAGCGAGCCCATCCTGGGCACCAGCAGGGGCACCGTGCGCCCCCACACAAGACACAGTCCACAGGGCTGTGAAGTGCGTCTCCAGGTCCAGGACCGCCCTGGGCACAGCAAGTTCCCATGGTTGTGGGAGCACAAGCCCAGGGAAGCCAGCGCGGGGCTCCTGAGGGCTCCACTGCCTCTCCCTGCAGCCCAACCCAAGGACACCAGCCAAGGAGCGTGTGTCTCCGCTCCTCCAAACACAAAAGCCTGCTTCTTCCCGGGAGATCTCGGGCTCCTTGCACAGACCTTTCCACAGGAAAGCAGGGAGGGAATTCCACCCCATTCACAGCTGGACAGAGACCAGGAGCGACTGAGCGACATGCCAGAATAGCACCCCAGGCTTGCAGTTTCTCCCCTCTGCAGTTTTGCAGAGGGATGATTGACTATTAAAACTGGCATCTCTCTGGGGCCTGAGAGATAGTACAGCAGGGAGGGCACTTGTCTTGTGCACTCCGACCTGGGTTCAATATCCGGCATCCCAAAGTGTCCCCTGAACACCCCCAGGAGTGATTCCTGAATACAGAGCTCGAGTGATCCCTGAGCACCGCCAGGCGTGACCCCAAAACAAAACAAAACAGAGAAGGCGTCTCTCAAAGGTGACCATATATATTGTGACGCACCCACCTTGTGTCACAGCCGCCATGTTTCCCTATCTTAGTTATTTCCATATCTGTGATGAGAATGCCCATGATATACCATCATAGCAAGTTTTAAGTTTGCAAAAGAATATTACCAACTAAAAATACTATTGCAGTGTGCATGTGCTAAAGAACTGAATCACCTTGCAGAACTAAAATCTTATACCCTTTGACCAACAGCTCCCCAATTTCACTCTTTCCCCATTCAAGGGGCCCACCTCAGACTCACTCTTTCAATGAGTTTGGCTATTTCAGTGCCACGTCTCAGGGAGAATATACAATATTTGCCTCTCTATCTCTGACTCATTTCATTTAGCTAGGATCTTCCAGGTTCCACCTTGCTGTTCAAATGGAAGGATTTTCTTCTTTTTAAAGATTAGATAACGTGTCATCTATATCTATGATAAACATACGCCTTAAAATATTTTTTATATTTTTGGGTCACACCCAGCAATGCACAAGGGTTACTCCTGGCTCTACACTCAGGAATTACTCCTGGCAGTGCTCAGGGGACCATATGGGATGCTGGGAATCGAACCTGGGTCGGCCTCGTGCAAGGCAGACGCCCTACCCGCTGTGCTATCACTCCAACCCCCTAAAAATATTTTCATACATGTTGCCTATATAGACCAAATCGCATTTTCTCTATGTAAGGAAAATGTCTTGTTGCTGCTTCCATTCCTTGACTAATATGAATAATGCCTCAATGGAAATGAGCATGCCAAAATCTCTTCAAAATCTAGATTTTATTTTCTTTCGATAGATATCTATTGCTGTATCATATGGCAGTTCTATTTTTAATATTTAGGGAAGCCTTCATGCTGTTTTCCATATGGCAAGAACACTAATTTATATCTGCCAGTGAAGAGAATTCCCTCATCCTGCTTTTTAGGCCTTCTGATCAAAGACATCCTAGCACACGTGAGATGATGTCTCTTGAGTTTTGGTTTGTAATTTTTCGGAAGGTTCGTGAAGTTGGACACCTTCGCATACAACTTGTTCCTCTAAATATCTTCTTTGGAGAAAGGTCGACTCAGGTTCTTGAGGCACTTTTTAAAAAATTGTTCTTTGCAGCAGTTCCTTATCTTTCTATCATGGATGTGGTTTGCTAAGATGGTCTCCATTGTTCCCATTGTTGCAATCTTCACTTTGTTCAGTGTTTCATTTGTTGTCCAGGAAAATTTTCTTTTGATCTGGTTCATCCACTTTGTCTACTTTTTTTTTTTTTGCCTTTACTTTTGATGTTATGTAAACGCATATTCTTAAAACACCATGTTGAAGAAGCCTTTACCCAATTTTCTTCTAGTAAGTTTAAGGGTTTTAGACCTATCAGAATCACCTCTGTGCATATTAGGACACAAGAACCTCATGCTGATACTGGGCACTTTTTTAAAAAATTTTTATTAGTGAAACACGATGAGGTACAGCTGTAGACTTATAAATTTTTGTGCTTCGGTTTCAGTTATACAATGATTGAGTACCTATTCCTCCACTACTGATCTTTACTGGGCACTTTTTGTGGAGCGATTTTTTTTTGCCTTGCGCATGGCTGACCCGATTGACCTAGAGGTTTGAGTCCTCCACCCCTCTTGGAGAGCCCGGCCAGCTACAGAGAGAATCTTGCCCGCAGGGCAAAGCCTGGCAAGTTCCCTGTGACGTATTCAATATGCCAAACACGGTAACAAGTCTCACAATGGAGACGTTACTGGGCCCGCTCGAGCAAATTGATGAACAACGGGAGGACAGTGACAGTGACAGTGACCCCCAGCGGGGGTCAGGGATGACACCTGGCTCTGTGTTCAGGGATCGTTTTCAGAGCTGCTTGGGGGGTGCTTTTGCAGTGTTGGAACAGAACCAGGTTCTGCTGGACATAGGAAACTGTGCTCTCTCTCTGCACAAGCTTTGGACATTTTTAAAGCTACAGCTCATATTTCACTCTTTGTGGCCCCTTTCTCACCCCAGATGCCAAATTATAGAGTTTTCAGAACACCTCCGTGCTGCATGTAGGCTGTGCCAGGATTTAAACTTAGAGCCTTGTGTTTGCCAGGCAGGCACCATAAGTCACTGAATCTCTTTCAGATCGTCCTATAATTATGGGTTATTTTTGACGGGACCACACTTGGAAGTGCTTCGGGGCTACTCCTGGCTCAGGAATCACGTCTTACCGTGTTCAGGGGCATCATACGTGGTGCTGTGGATTGAACTGGAGTCGACCCCACGAAGGCACAAGCCTATCTCCTGCACTGTCTCTCCAGTCCCACATTTAACTCTTTCACCCATTTTGTGTTGAATTCTTGATATCATATGAAATAAGGATTCAATTTATTTTCTTGGGCTCAACACCACTTACTGAGAGTGTTTCTCCCAGAGGATGTACTTAATTGAGGATGTGCAATTTATTTCTCAACTCTTTATTCCCTCTTTATTGATCTGCATTTTTTTTTGGCCTGGGCTGTGCTGCTTTGATTACTGTAGATCTGAAATATTTTGAAATCAGAAAGTGTGATGACTCCAACTTTGTTCTTATTTACAAGCTAACTTTGACTGCTCAGTCTCATTTGCGTTATCATATTAAAGTTAGGGGTGCTTTTTCGAGTTCTGCAAAGAGTTAAACTGGGGTTTTGGTAAGGATTATATTGAATCTGTAGATCACTTTAGAAACCATGAGCATTTCTTAAGGTAAATAAAGTAAAGTAAAGGCCCTCCCCTTGATCATCGATTTGCTCGAGCGGGCCCAGTAACGTCTCCATTGGAGACTTTGTTGTTACTGTGTTTGGCATATCGAGTACGTCACAGGGAACTTGCCAGGCTCTGCCGTGCGGGCGAGATACTCTTGGTAGCTTGCCGGGCTCTCCGAGAGGGGCGGAAGATTCGAACCCGGGTCGGCCATGTTGGCTGCATGCAAGGCAAACGCCCTACCACTGTGCTATCGCTCCAGCCAATTTCTTAAGGTATTATTGATAATTAAAAATGCATCTATTTAAATGGGACTGGAGATAGCTCCAGGTACTGGAGCACATGGTTAGCATATGAGAGGCCCAGATTTGGTCCCTGGAACCACATGCAACTTCAAGTACTGCTAGAAGAGACCTCAGGGACTGAAACAGGAATAAGCCTCAGAATGTCAGGTGTGATAAAAAAAAATAATAGCAGCCAAAAACTAAAGAAAAGGAGAAAAAGTACATATTTAAGGTGTAGAACGTAATATTAATTCTTCCAGTACGTGAACACAAGATATATTTTCATTATTCTACAAGAGTTACATAGCTCCCATAATAATTTCTTTTTGATTGTTTAGGGGGGTGCCCCTCATTGTGCTCAGGGGTTTCTCCTGGCTTTGTGTCCAGAATCATTCCTGGCAGGGCTAAGGGTGCTGGAGACCAACTTGGCTCAGCCGCTTGCAAGGGAAGTGAGTGACCTGCTATAATGTCTCTCTGGTTCCTATGATAGTTTTTGATGCTGGTCTCAATTTTTGGTGGTAAATCCACCTACTGTAATTTATAAATATATAAAATATAAATAAATGTCATTATTTACTTATACAAATCAGTTTGAAGTCAATCATTACGTGGTATCAAGTGTATTTGCAATGTTTTGCAACATCACCATTACATAATTCTAGAACTTTTTATTAAATCCAGACAGAAACTACTAAGCAGTGGCTGGAGAGATAATATAGTGGGTGCGGCACTTGCCTTGCATATGGCCAGTCCACGTTCTATCCCAGGAACTCTACAGGGACCCCTGAGCTCAGAAGTAAGTCCTCAGCACATCTGGGTGTAGCCCGCAGACCAAGAAACTGCCAAGCAGTCATTCCTCATTCCATCCACCTCTTGGCTCCTGACAACCACTTATCTTCTTCCTGTCAATCAAGTTTCCTATTCTAGATATTTTATGCAAATGGAATCATACAGTATGCAAGTTTTTGTATCTAGATTCTTCCAGTTTAGCCTAATCTTTTATAAGTTCATCCATGTTTTATCACATATCAAAACTCATTCTTTTTATTATTGAATAATATTCCATTTTGTAAATATTCCAGATTTTGTTTGACCATTCAGCAATAGATAGGGATTTGGGATGTTCCCAATTTCTGGTTAGTGAATATATATATACATTTTTAAAAAATTTTAATAGTGAGACACTATGAGGTACAGTTGTAGACTTACAAATTTTGTGCTTAGGTTTCAATTATACAATGAGGGGTGGGAGGGATACTGGGATCCGTGGTGTATATATATAAATTTTTAATATATGAACATTATATATCTACATGTATCATATACACTACATACATGAACCTATATATATTTATAAACATAAACATACATTTTCGTTTTCTTGAGTTTGGGGCTACGCCCATCAATGATAGAGAGCTACTCCTTTCTCAGTGTTGGGGGGTGTCACTCCTGGAGGTACTCAGGGGATCCTGTAGTGCTGGGCAGAGAACCTGGGCTCTTGATGCAAAATGTGTGTTTGAGCCCCTTGAGCGATCTCCCTGTCCCTTCTGATTTTCTTTTTAAAGAACAGTTTTAAGTTGACAATGATTGCAGAGCATGTACAGAGAGAGTTCCCTTTCTATACCTGCTGCCCCACATACAGAACCTCCCTGATGAACAGCATTCCCCGGCTGCAGTTACACTTGTTATACACCATGAACCTACAATGATGCCTCATGATCACCCAACAAGCACTGTGCATCGGGGTTCACTTGAAGTTACGCATTCTGCAAGTTTTAACAAATGAAAATGACACGAATCTCTCATTAGAGAGCACTGTAGCACTGTCCTCCCATTGTTCATCGATTTGCTCGAGCAGGCACCAGTAACGTCTCACCACAAATTGTGAGACTTGTGACTGTGTTCGGCATATTGAATACATCACAGGAGCTTGCCAGGCTTTGCCATGCAGGCGAGATACTCTCGGTAGCTTGCCAGGCTCTCCGAGAGGGGCGGAGGAATCGAACTCAGGTCAGTCGCGTACAAGGCAAACGCCCTCCCTACCCGCTGTGCTATAGCTCCAGCCCCATTAGAGAGCATACAAGACAAATGCGTTCTTCTAAAGGGCTTCTGCTGTCTGCCCGCGAATTCCTCCCTGTCCATAGCCCTGACAGCCACTGCTTCTCTCTTGCTTTGCCTTTTGAAAATGTCATGTCACTGCGCACACACGAAAAACTACGGTGCATACACACTGTGGAATACTTCTTGAATATAAGATAAAATGAAACCATGCAATTTACCTCTGTGTGGATGGGTCAAGCTGAGTGAAGTCAACCAGAAGGAGAGAGGAGACATAGAATCACCTCTCTCATGTGTGGGATATAAAGGATCATAGTAAGGGAACAACAAATGGTAAAGGTGATAGAAGCCAAGAACTGGCCTAAGAACTCAGCTCACCTCAGGAGGTCTGAGGAGGTGGAGGCAGAGGATTCTGAGACAATGGTGAGGGGAGCAGACATTAGGGGAAGATGGGGTGTTCAAATGCTCTATACATTAAACCTTATCACAAGCAGCATCATGGTATCTAAGGTTTAAAAAAAATATTGGCACCCAAACATAATTGGGATCCGACTGGATTTGGCCTTTCAGACCATTTCTTTTTACTTAGCAGTATGCACAAATATTCTGGCTATTGGAAAGAGCGACTCTGAACGGTCAATAAGCTCTTGCTTGCATACCTGCTTTCAGTTCTCCTGGGCTCCTCATGGACTGAAATATAATGAGGCTGGTGCCAGAGCACAGTACAACAGGGAGGATGTTTGCCTTGCACACGATCAACCCAGTTTCGATCCCCGGCATCCCGTATCATCCCCCAAGAACTACCAGGAGTAATTCCTGAGTGCAGAGCCAGAAGTATGCCCTGGGCATCCCCAGGTGTGACCCAGAAAGCCAAAATATATTTTAAAAATGGAAACCTAATGAGGCTCCCCAGACCTTCCTTGGCCCATTCATTCTCTTTGTGTTCCTGTCGTCCAGAGTCTGGTCGAGGCTGCTGAGGAGGCCGACCTGAAGCATGAATTCAACGAATCATTGGTGGTGAGTCTTCTTGCTTGCAGAACGTTGCTCTCGGAGGGGCTGATGAATCATTCCTCCACTTGCCCAAAGCCAGGGACAACTGAGAACAGGCTACTGTGTGTGTGTGTGTGTGTGTGTGTGTGTGTGTGTGTGTGTGTGTGTGTGTTTGGTGGCAGGGGAGGTCCACTGCTAGCTGTCAGTGTGTACAAGCATCCATCAATGTTCATCCTGGAACCTGGTTCTGAAATACTCTCTAGTCCTTTGAGAAGGGACTTAGGAACCAGATGCCAGAGGTGAAATTAAAACTTGCCAGAAAAAAAAATGAGGGAGGAGGGAGAGAAAGTCAACAACAATCCACTCATTGGATGGATGTTTGTTATCCAACCAGGACATGTGAGCCTCTGCAGAAATAAAAAGGTATGATTACCTTCTTCTTTTTTGGGGGGGTCACACCCGGCATTGCACAGGGGTTCCTCCTGGCTCTGCACTCAGGAATTATCCCTGGCGGTGCTCAGGGGACCATAGGGAATGCTGGGAATCGAACCAGGTTGGCCACGTGCAAGGCAAATGCCCACTGTGCTATCGCCCCAGCCCCGAATATCTTCTTTTCATTCTTCTCAAGAAGACAGAAAGGATAACTGCAGAGCTGGTGTTTTGGATAAGACAAGCCCAAGTTCCTACGAAGGGGTCATCTTGAGTCTGCCATGGGTTGCAGTGAGGTATGGACATTGGGTGGAGCGCAATGACCCAGCAAAGGCAGAGGTGGGGTTTCTAGGTGAAGGAAAATCAAAGACACAGAAATAAGAAAATGCAAAGTCGAGGAATTTGTGAGGGGTCCACACGGCGTCCTGGGGAAGAGGAGGCAGAGAGTGACTGTGGGAAGGTCGGGATGTTTTCCAGGCTGCAATGGCACCGACTGCGGGGTGTGGGCAGGGAGGGCAGTGTGCTGAGGCGCTACTGCTGGCTGCCATGCCATGACAGGGGGCAGGAGAGAGGGCATGGCACGGAGGCTGATCAAGATCTGTGATGGAGGAGCAGGGAAAAGGGTTTCCTGTGGCTCTCGTGGTGGGATTCGGGCCCAGCCTCCAGCATTGCGGATTTCTACCTCCTTCCCAGAGAGATGCAGCCTTTTTCTTTCTTTTTTTTCTTTTTGGGTCACACCCAGCAATGCACAGGGGTTACTCCTGGCTCTGCACTCAGGAATTACTCCTGGCAGTGCTCAGGGGACCATATGGGATGCTGGGAATCGAACCCGGGTCGGCCGCGTGCAAGGCAAACACCCTATCCACTGTGCTATCACTCCAGCCCCTTTCTTTTATTTATTTTAATTTTTTATTTTATAAGGTGGTTCACAATATTTGATTACAGGGCTGCAGCGACAGCACAGTGGGTAGGGCGTTTGTCTTGCACGCGGCTGACCCGGGTTCGATTCCTCCGTCCCTCTCGAAGAGCTCGGCAAGCTACCGAGAGTATCCCGCCCGTACGGCAGAGCCTGGCAAGCTCCCCGTGGCGTATTCGATATGCATAAACAGTAACAACAAGTCTCACAATGGAGACGTTACTGGTGCCCACTTGAGCAAATCGATGAACAACGGGAGGACAGGGCTACAGTGCAATATTCAAACACCAATCCCACCACCGTTACACCTTCCCACCACCAAATTTGGGATGTTTCCATCCCAAGCCCCAAGCCCTGTCCCAAAGCACAACTGTAAAGTAAAGTAAAGGCCCTCCCGTTGATCGTCGATTTGCTCGAGTGGGCCCAGTAACGTCTCCATTGGAGACTTTGTTGTTACTGTGTCTGGCATATCGAATACTCTCGGTAGCTTGCCGGGCTCTCCGAGAGGGGCGGAGGAATCGAACTCGGGTCGGCCATGTTGGCTGCGTGCAAGGCAGACGCCCTACGTATTTTGTATAGTCTGTTATGAAAAACCGCTGAAAATGCTACAAAAAAGTATCCCTGGAGGAGACAGTGTGAAGATTATTCTATTTTGGCAGGGGCCATTAAGACATTCTCTAGAATATCACTGACATGTTGTTAAAGGTTGAGTTATATGAGCTTTCATATATATATATATGTAAATATATATATGAAACTATGTATTTATGCAAATATTTTCCTCTATGATTTGTTGCCTACTATTTGACCCCCATCCAATGTGGTGTGGCACTTAAGGAGAGTGGGCAGAGAGTGTCTTATGATGTGTCATTTGCGGCCGCACTGTCCAGGAATACGTTCACTAGTATGTGAGGCCCGGCCCGAGCGTGTGGGGAGCAGCCTTGACCGACCGTGGTGGTGGTTGGGTTCTGGAGGTTTTCGGCTGCCAGAGCTGGGTCCCTTGGGGTAGGGTGGGCTCTCATCTGCCCCCCTCTGGGTCATCCTGAGTGAAGCACACTGCTGTTTCTTAAAGAGAATCCATCACTAAGGGTACCCCGACCCTCCTGTCTCTCTCTCTCTCTCTGTTTTTCTCTCTCTATCTGTTCTCTCTGTCTCTCTCTCTCTTTCTCTCATTCTATCTCACTTTCTCTCCGACTCTCCCCTGTTTGCACACAGGTTAATTTAATCATCTTGTTCCAGCAAACAGCCAGTCCAACCAGCCATCTACTCGCTAGCAATTATCTAGATATGTGCTTGCCCTGGAATCCTGGATCACTGTCTCACTTCCCACCGGCATCTGGATGCTTTCCGTCTATCCCCCACCCCGACCACCTCTCACTGCCGAGCCCTCTCACCCCTACGGCACCCCATCTCTTTCTCTCTGTCTGCCCCCGCCGTACTATCTCTGTCCGACCTCTTCCACTCTGCTCCCTCTGCTCCTAGTTCGACTATTACAACTCGGTGCTTATCAATGAAAGAGACGAGGAGGGCAACTTCATGGAGCTGGGGGCAGAGTTTATCCTGGAGCCCAACGCGCACTTCAGCAACCAGCTGGTGAACACCTCCCTGAGCAACGTGCAGTTACCCACCAATGTGTACAACAAAGGTGCCGCCCGCCCTGCCCCCCCCCCACCCCAGTCACTCATGCTGGCACTCGGAGTGGAGTGCAGATGCCAGCGAATTTAATGGCATTAAATTCATTACATTTGATTTATGAAAAAGGGGTGCCTCCCTTAGCTGAGGTGCCCTGTTGAAGGAGAGAGATGAGTGAACGTGAACTTGGACTGGGAGGCATGGTGGTATTCCTGGGTGAGAGGTGACAGTGAGAAATGCAAGAACGTCATTCTGGAACTGTGTGTGTGTGTGTGTGTGTGTGTGTGTGTGTGTGTGTGTGTTTATGGAGAAGATATGATCTCTGTTATAGTACCTCCCGCAAATCTCACTCCTTATTTATTTATTCTGGGGGGCTTGGGCACATTTATTCTGGGGGGCTTGGGCACATTTATTCTGGGGGGCTTGGGCTTGGGGAAGGGTTCAGGGGCTAATTCCAGCTAGGGGAGCTCAAAAGTCACTCCCGATGGAGCTCAGGGATCTGTACATGGTGCCAGAGATTGAACTGGGGTCAGCCACCTGCAAAGTGAATGTCTTGGCCCTTGTACTAGCTCTCTGACTCACAAAGTTGTTACTGTTTGGGTGTTATGGGGTAATGTGGGAGGTGGGGGGGCAGGGAGCAAGCTGGGGTCTCTGGCATGCAGAACATGTGCTCCAACCCACGGAGCTCTCTGTCTCTCTGGCCCTTCATTCCACCCTTCAGACCCAGACATTTTAAATGGGGTCTACATGTCCGAAGCCTTGAACCCTGTTTTTGTGGAAAACTTCCAGAGAGACCCAACACTGACGTGGCAATATTTCGGCAGCTCAACGGGATTCTTCAGAATCTATCCTGGTAAGGAGGTTTGGTCTCATCTCACTGGGCCTCTAGGCTTCTGCTCTGTGAGGAAGGCAGCTGACCTCTGACCGGGGAACTCAAAGCCCCAGGGAATGTGGCTGTTCCTCCCATGCAAAAGCTGCACATGTTGGCATTCCCCCCAACAAGCAAGGTGCATTTTTGATGAATGGCCGTTGAGTGAGTAAAACCCTCAAGCACCAGCCCCCCAAATGCCCACATTGAACTGGACTATGAAAAGTCCTGTGGAAGGGGCATGTACTCCATGGCTTGGAGGCCAGCCTCACACTCTAGGGGTAAAGGCAGCTCAGATAGAGAAGGGAGCACCAAATAAAGGGTGTTGGGAAGATCCGCCCAGGATGGGAGACGCATGCTGAAAGTAGACTATGGACCGAACATGATGGCCACTCAATTCCTCTTTTGCAAACCACAGCACCCAAAAGGAGAAAGAGACCAAAAGGGAATGCCCTGCCACAGAGGCAGGGTGGGGTGGGGGGATGGGGGTGGGAGCAATACTGGGATCCATGGTGGTGGAAAATGGGCACTGGTGGAGGGATGGGTGTTTGATCATTGTACAACTGAAACCCAAGCACAAAAAGTTTTAAGTCTACAACTGTACCTCATGGTGTTTCGCTAATAAAAATTTTTAAAAAAGAGAAAAGTCCTGTGGAAGATGCAGAGGAGGGCAAAGCAGTTCTTGATTTTAAGAACTTTATATCGAAGTGGGAGAAAGAAGGCATACTCACTTGGAATATTCAACAGTGGAGGACCCTGGAGATGGGCTGCTTGTCTGAGACCCAGACTTAGCGGGTGGGGCACTTGCCTTGCATGCGGCTGAGCAGGCTTCAATCTCTAGCACCACAAATGTCCCCACAGTTTACTCCAATCCACTTTAAGCTCTAGAAAGTTTCTAAATGGTCATCTTATTTTGAGACCAGAACCAGAGTAATCCTAAAGAAGTCCCTCTCTGTCCTTCAGCTAGAAAAGCCAAGCCGGCTTGGAGGCTCTGTTCCACCCCTGATTTCCTGGTACTTTAGGTAGGGTTCTGGCTGTAAGATGAAACCAGCCCTCATCTGTGTGCTCTGGTTGGCCAGTGTCCCTCCATCAGGGGGACCTCGCATCTCACCTACTGACTCAGTTCACAGATGTCATAGGATGGTCCCCTGTCCCCCCCACACACACACCCTAGGTGCACTCAGCTCCCAGAGTAGCCATGAGGTGGTGCTCGAAGCGTCCTCTGTTCCCTTAGGCATCAAATGGACGCCAGATGAAAATGGAGTTGTTACCTTCGACTGCCGGAACCGTGGCTGGTAAGCGCTCCTGGGGAGAACTCGAGGTGTCGGCGTTTCTCTTCTAGCCCACAGGATTGTGTCATTTCTTCCAGCCCCTGCCCCCCCCACCTCCAGGAGCCCAGGTATGTGGAACCCCACTCCCCGCCAAGAAGGCAGCAGTGTCTTCTCCCTGCGCCCTCCGTTGCCTTGGCTCTAGGACGATTCGTTGACCTACCCGCAGCAGGCTTTCCTCCTGACCATGGTGCCGTCCCCAGGCAGCCTCTGCCAGCTCGGCTTCCCTTGGGGTTCCCGCCCTGGGCTTCACCAACAGACTCAGGGTGCAGGAGGAAGCTGGCACCTGCCCTTCCGGCGGCTGCAAGCACCATGAGAGCCCTGCCTGGTTTGAGCTCAGTTTACCACCAAGACTTGGAGCTTTTTGCTCCCGATAGGTGTGCCAGGTGGCCACATTCCCAGCCTGTTGCTTCAGAACAGTGCTCAGTCGTCTTGCATAGCTGGAGTTTGAATACATTGTTCAACTGTATTGAGACTGCATTCTCGTTCAGAGAATTCGAAGAGAAGATCAGAGAGAGAGCACATAGGACAAAGCACTGGCCATGTATGTGGCCAATCCTGGTTCAATCGCTAGGATTGTGTAGGGTCCCCTGAGCACTGTTAGGAGACATCCCTGAGCAGAAAGCCAGGTGTGATCCCTGATCACTGCCTGAAGAAGAAAGGCAGGGAGGGAGGACAGGAGAGAGAGAAAGAGAAAGGAGAGAGACAGAAAGATAGAAAAATAGGTGAAAGAAAGAGAAGGAGAAAGAGAAAAAGAAGGAAAGAAGGGAGGAAGGGAAGGAAGGAGGTAGGGAGGAAAGAAGAAAAGAAAGGAAGAAAGAAAGGAAGAAGAAAGAAAGAAAGAAAGAAAGAAAGAAAGAAAGAAAGGAAGGAAGGAGGGAGGAAGGAGGACAGAAGGAAGGAAGGAAGGAAGGAAGGAAGGAAGGAAGGAAGGAAGGAAGGAAAGGAGGGAGGAAGGAAGGAAGGGAGGAAGGAAGGAAGGAAGGAAGGAAAGAAAGAAGGAAGGAGGGAGGGAGAGAAGGAGGGAAGGAAGAAAAGAGGGAAGGAGGGAGGGAGGGAGGGAGAAAGAAAGAAAGAAAGAAAGAAAGAAAGAAAGAAAGAAAGAAAGAAAGAAAGTTAATTTGGTAGAAATAACTGAAGACCATCACATCACACGGTCACACGGATGTCCTGGCTTCTGTTTCACCTCATAGGCCTGTGTCTTTCTTCCTGCTAAAGGTATATCCAGGCCGCTACCTCCCCCAAGGACATTGTGATTCTGGTGGACACGAGTGGCAGTATGAAGGGGCTCCGAATGGCTATTGCCAAGCATACCATCACCACCATCTTGGACACGCTGGGAGAGAATGACTTTGTTAACATCATTGCGGTCAGTGGCTGGTGGAGGAGGTTGCTCGCCTGTCCAGGAGCCTGTGCAGGGCGGGGAGACGGCCCTGGCCCACACTCGGGTGCTAGTTATACTGAAAATCACGAGTTGCTTAATCCTGTGGGATGATTCTCTCATTTAAAGCTGGGACTCCTAACTTAGGACCAAAGGTGATTTTCTATGAGATAGTCAGAGGTGTGCCCATTTTCCCGAATTCATATAGTGCATCTATTTCTCAGACGAGTGCAGGATAGAATCAAGAGTAGGAGCCATGATACACCCCATGTGGCCCCAATCAGTGCTTGGCCTGCAACCAGCCCTGTTTGATCTCTGTGCTGTAGCATGAGTCCAAGGCAGCAACTCTCCCCTTCCTGTCTCCTACCACATCCAGATACAATGGGAGAAGGGGGCGAATAGTTTGAGGGGCCAAGAAAGGGATCAGCAGACAAGGGCCCTGCCTCCATACCAATGCTGCCATTGGAGATTTGTACCTCCGTGAGCCCCCAGGTAGGGGACGAGGGGAGAACAGAAGCAGAAAGAAAGGGAGAGTGATTAAAAATGTGCTGGCCCAGAAAGTCAAAGCCACAAGTCAAGACCCCCATGCCGTCACATGTACTGAGGAGTGGTCGGAGCAGCCCCTGAGAAAGGGTTTGGAAGATGGCTCAGGGTCTTGGGGAGAGCCCAGGGAATGCGAGGAAGGAAGGAAGGAAGGAAGGAAGGAAGGAAGGAAGGAAGGAAGGAAGGGAGGGAGGAAGAGGCTATGATCATTCATTGATTACTGTTCACAGTGAAAAAACTGCAATATATGCAGGAATCAAAGGAGAGAGCAGTCTAATCTGCACGCAGAGAGCAGGGAGGTGTCTGCAGAGAGAAGTTTGGGGTCCCCAGCAAAGGGGTTTTCCTCACTTAGGGACAAAGACAAGGAACCCTCAGTGACTTCAGGGTTCAGTTCAGCCATCCAAGCCCATGGCCAGGGGCCAGGATTTAAAGGCAGATTTCTAGAGAGAAGGCCTTGCTGTTGTTCTCTCTACTGACACACCACGCATAGGTATTCCAGGGTCTCACAGGCGTCTGGGTGACCCCGCCCCAGCCATCCTGGTTGTTGTCTGAGCGTTAGCATAGGCCCCTGTCTTTAAAACAGGCCTGTCTGTTCCCACCCTTGCAGTACAACGATTACATCTACTACATCGAGCCCTGTTTCAAAGGCATCCTCGTACAGGCCGATCGAGACAACCGGGAGGTAAGCGTGCCCTTGGCGGTGCCTCGGAGCCTGCTCAGGGTGCAGCCAACTGTGGGCAGTGGGTTGGGGAGGGGCCCCGGAGGCCCTTTGCGAAGCAGCTCCCATGACGCGCAAGGAGAGGGGGATGGCGCAGTGCACTGACCATATGGGATGCTGGGAATCTGAACCCAGGTCAGCCGCATGCAAGGCAAATACCCTGCCCGCTGTGCTATCGCTCCAGCCCCTTACCCATGTTTTTTGTTTGTTTGTTTAAGGGTAAATTTTTATGTTGCAGACCTGTCTTCTGGGCCTGTCCACGTGGGCCTCAGGGTTTAGCCACTGCTTGCATCCAGCCTCCTTGCTCCCTGGAGCCCTGGAGATGTCCGTGATTTCTCCTGCAAAATGCTCTACTGAGTGAGGACGGTGACAAATTCACCATACCTCAGCTTAAAGTGGGGGTGTTCGAGAAACATCTATTCTAGGGGGCCGGGCACAAAAGTGGCAGCATCCTAGCGATAGAGCCCATGCTCGCATGCCTCCAGACAGACGACGCCAAAGAGCCTCCGAAGTGAAGAAGGAGGGGCTGGAGTGATAGCACAGAGGGTAGGGCGTTTGCCTTGCACATGACTGACCCGCGTTCAATTCCCTTGCACTAGGCCGGACTGGGTTCAAACCCCAGCATCCCATATGGTCCCCCGAGCAGCACCAGGAGTAATTCCTGAGTGCAGAGCCAGGAGGAACCCCAGTACATCGCCGGGTGTGGCCCAAAAAGCAAAATCATCATCATCATCATCATCATCATCGTCATCACACACACACTATCACACTGTCCTTCTGTTCATGTATTTGCTCAAGCGGGCCCGTAATGTCTCCTTGTGAGACTTGTTGTTACTGTGTCTGGCATATCGAATACGTCACGGGTAGCTTGCCAGGCTTTGCCGTGAGGGCGAGATATTCTCAGTAGCTTGCCGGGCTCTCCGAGGCGGGCGGAGGAATCAAACCCAGCTTGGCCAGGGTGGTTGCGCGCAAGGCAAACGCCCTACCGCTGTGCTATCGCTCCAGCCCGATAATGATAATCTATAAGCACTGTGACATGATAGCACTGTCCTCCAGTTGTTCATCGATTTAATAATAATGACAATAATAAAACAAAGTGAAGAAGGATGATGAGGAGCCAGGGCTTCACGCACCCTCCAACATGCCTCTCGTTCCTCGCCCCCAACAGCATTTCAAACAGCTGGTGGGCAGGCTGATGGTGAAAGGTGTGGGCATCGTGAATCGCGCCCTGAGTGAGGCCTTCAAGATCCTGAAGCAGGTACCAGAGCTGATGAAAATGGGGCTCAGTGGCAGGGGCAGGGGCAGTGCTCAGAGACCAGCGGAGGTGCAGGCCTTGATGCAGTGCTCCCCGCTCCTTTCCCACACAGTTCCAGGAGGAGCAGCAGGGAAGTCTGTGCAACCAGGCTGTGATGCTGATCACCGACGGGGCAGTGGAGGACTATGAGAGCGTGCTGGAGGAGTATAACTGGCCTGAGCGCAAGGTCTGGGGTCGGGCAGGGGCCGGGCAGGGGCCGGGCAGGGGCCGGGCTCTCCCTCTGCAGAGGTGGGGCAAGGCCAGGGCCTTAGAATCCAGGCCTGGGGGCCAGAGTGATAGCACACCAAAGAGGGGATTTGCCTTGCACGTGGCCATCACAGGTTCGATCCCCGGAATCCCATAGGGTCCCGCAAGCAACGCTAGGAGTAATTCCTGAGTGCAGACTCAGGATTAACCCCAAAGTATTGCCAGGTGTGGACATAAAAAGCTAAAAAAAGGAAAAAGGAATCCAGGCCTGGCACTGGAACCAAAGTACTGTTCGTAAGGCACTTGCCTAGCATGCAGTCGACGAGGTTCGATTCTTGGCGCGCCATCTGGTTCCCCCTGAACCCTGAACATAGATGCAGGTTAAGCTCTGAGCACCGCCAAACGTGTCCTCTCACACATAAAATAACAACAACAACAACAACCCCGGTTGGTCCTGAGTTTACAATGCTCTGCTTGGGGGCTGGGAAGACTGAGAGAGCAGAGGGTCGGGGCAGAGGCCTTGCGGGCGTCCACCCCAGTCCCCTTCTCCACTGAGATACAAACACACAAAGACCACCTGGGTACTGGGTACTGCCATATCTAGCCCAGGGGACTGCAGTTTCGCAGTATGCTCGAGTCCTGGCATTGTTGGCCTGCTTGGTCAAGGATGGCAGAGAGTATCCCCAGGGGCACCCGGAGTCCAGCTTGGGACACACTGTCTGCTCCCAGACCTAAGGGTACCTTCGGGGCATTTCCCCATGGCTCAGGGGCAAGAGTCCCCTTGGTTCCAGTCAAACAGAACTGAGAGCTGAACACTCAGGGTCCGAGACCAGAATCAGGTTTGAAGACATGAGAATTGCCAAAATGCGGGCTCTGACCTCATCCTCCACACCTCCACAACCTCAGTGAGTCCTGCAGACCTTTCTGATCCAAAGGGGTGAACACAAGAACACCAGAGCCCCCACATTTCCCATGACACCACACAAGACCAGGAAGTCAAGCTGCTGAGTTTTTTTTTTCAATTGATTCACTGTGAAGTGCAGTTAACAAAACTTTCATGTTTAAGCTACAATCATACAGTCATCAAACACCCATCCCTTCACCAGTGCACGTTTTCCACCACCCAAATCCCCAGTATCCCCCCTCCCCCCCTTCCACACCTCCCCCTGCCTGTGTGGCAGACAATTTGCACAATACTCTCTTTCTCTACTTTAGTGACCTTCGCTATTTCGAGAGCAGACCCACCACCACTCATACCCGCCGAAAAGGCAACGCTAGACAATGTGTTTTGTATTGCTCGTTATGGAGGCAATATAATGTCACGTGGCCAGGAGAGTGGTCATGTGCTCTAGGAACTCTAAAATTTTAGTAATTAGGGTCTGAAGAGATCGCTGCAGCAAGTTGCTCAGGTCCGAGATTCCTTTGTGTGTCTCTGGATCCTGGCCGTGTGGGAGCTTAAGTCGACGGTGGCCGGATGTGGCATCATCTCAGAGTCCCATCGGGACGGAGGGGGCAGGAGAAGGGTCCACTCCTCCCCTGTCCCACGAGGCCTGGCGTCTGCCGCCACTGTCACTCGTACCTGGAGCTTGTCGCTGACTTCTAGAAAATCCCACCCTGTGTCTTGAGGCAGGTCCGAGTCTTCACCTACCTCATCGGGAGAGAAGTGACCTTCGCCGACCGCCTGAAGTGGATCGCATGCAACAACAAAGGCAAGTCTGCAGGAGCAGCCTGGCCTGGGCGCCCCAGGGTGGAGCTACACAGGGGAGCAGGGCTGGGGGACAAGGACAGTCGCTGTCTCTCCTTTGCCCCCCTTCTTTTTTTGTTTTGGTTTTAGGTGTTAATTTTTTTAAATTGAATCAGTGAGATACAAAGTACAAAGTTGTTCGTGATTGGATTTTCGTCATAAAATGTTCCAACCCCAGTCCCTTCCAGTGAACATTTCCTACCACCGATGTCCCCAGTTTCCTTCCTGACCCCCATCCCCACCTATCTATAGCAGTATGGCAGACAATTTTCTCCCCCCCACACACCCCCCCTCCCTCTCCCTCTCCTTTTGGGCATTATGATTTGTAATACAGATACTGAATGCTTATCATGTATAATCCTTCACCTACTTCCAACACTCAGTTCTTGTCCAGAGTGATCCTTTCTGTTCTGGTTTCATGCTGATCCCTTTGGAAAAACAATAGCTGAAATGTAGACTGTGCTCTAAGGCTGTGTGTGCAGGCTTGAGCACCTCCAGGGACTCAAAGTCATTGAGGCATCTAAAATGAGACATGGAGGTTCGATCCAGTGTTGGCAGAAGAGAGATTTCAGTATAAAGCCTCATCTGGGCCACAGTAAATATCAGGACAGGGTGTAGGATGGGGAAACGAGAGTTCCCCCTCTCCCTACAAAGTTTTTGCCTCAAGTGCCCAACTCTCATTCTTGTTTGCTTTAGAGTAATGTTGCTTGGGTAAACTTGTCTGTCTCTGGCCCAAACCCAGGATCTGGGCGCCGTGCTGCTCACTTGGGCACTCCGAAGCCAACCCAAATCGACTGAGCATCTACCATGCCGCCTGCGTTGTTTCCAGGAGGCTCAGTCTCGCTGTTGCTCCTGCCTATTGGGACGAGCTGCAAATGATAATTTAACCCGAATAAAGCCACGGGGGTGGGGGGGGGTGTTCAGGGTGCAGTGGAGAAGGTGCCGTTCCCATGGGGGGGGGCTAGTATGGAAGGTTCCTGGAAGAGTGGTAGTGTATACTCAGATATGGAAAACAGTGTAGGAGTCAGCGAGTGGCTCCAGCCTGATGGATAGAAAGAAGAACAGGGTCCGAGGGCCTAAGGCAGAGGCAGCTGGGAACCAAAAGTCACTCGTCTTGGGGAGTCAGTGGCTCGTGGGGGGGGATGAGTCCAGGCTGAAATGACTTACTCTTTTCACTAGCATGTGGTGCAACAGAGACTGGCACACCCCTACTATAAACCGAGGAAGGGGGATGATCCCGGAAAGGAGGTTGTGGGAGGGGGCCTGGGGCCCATCCTGCCGCATCCAGCACCGCTAAGTCAAACAGGGTCCCCGAGGCGGAGGGGGAAAGGCAACCGGGTAAGGCGGGCTGGCAAGCCACGCTCACGCAGTGTCTTTATTAAACAAGCAACAGACTTACAGGCCTCTAGAAGGAAACATACATTGGAAAAATCTACAGGAACGTTCAGGATACCTAAGTTTGGAATGTACTGGGCTTCCAGACGTCAGTGATGTTTTTCTATAGGTTCCGTGATATTTTCCTTGGTTATATATTGACACACCTTAGCAACATGTTCTGCCACAAGAACCGGAAAAGAGCCCGCTAGAAAAACAAGAAAGTCAGGGACTGGAGGGATGGTACAGTAGGTAGGGCTTTTGCCTTGCATGCGGCCAACCTGGGTTCAATTCCCAGCATCCCATATGGTCCCCTGAGCACCACCAAGAGTAATTCCTGAGTGCACAAGCCAGGAGTAACCCCTGAGCATCGCCAGGGATGGCCCCAAAAAACAAAAGCCAATTACCCATATTTCTGTGATAAGGCATTATTTTTACATTTCTTCTACACTCTTAGTGGAAGATCAATAAGTGACACTCAAGGCGGCTGGAGCAATAGCACAGCGGGTAGGGCACTTGCCTTGCACATGGCCAACCGGGGTTCAATTCCCAGCATCCCATATGGTCCCCCGAGCACCACCAGGAGTAATTCCTGAGTGCACGAGCCAGGAGTAACCCCTGTGCACTGCTACGTGTGACCAAAAAGAAAAAAAAAACTCAGCCCTTAGAATGTGTAACCCCAAGACAATGGTTTCTATAAACCAGCCTTAGACAACACACCCCCAGGACAAGAACTTTTTAAATATTTAACCAGCACAGGCTCCCATCCACACCACCCACTCAGCCTGGGCTCCTGAAAGCAGACCCGAGAGTGAGCAGGGTCCATCGGCTGTGCCGTGGGCCTTTTCTTGACCACGGCTGTGAAGGGCATGAGAGAGGCAGACTGAGTGTGCGCAGCCAACCTGTGAGGATGCGAAGCTCACTGCTGCCGGGCAGCCCTGGAACAGTCCTGTGCAGTTCCCTGTGTTGAGGCAAGGATGGGACCTTTACTCGCCCCCTCCAGCAGCACAGCTCCCTTGGTCCCCTAGAAAGGGGGTGATTCTCCGGGACCTGTTCCTCACGGGCCTGTGTGACCTCTCCGCAGCTGGGGATGGACCCCCAGCAGGCCACAGCCACGCCAGCCTCCCCCTCCTCCAGGCTACTACACGCAGATCTCCACGCTGGCCGATGCCCAGGAGAGCGTGATGGAGTATCTGCACGTGCTCAGCCGCCCCATGGTCATCAACCATGACCACGACATCACCTGGACCGAAGCCTACATGGATAGGAAGGTGGGTGCCGACCCGCTTGCTCCCGGCTAGGGAGCCCAGGAGTAAATGGTGGTGAGTCAGGAGACACTAAAGGGATGAGGACCAACCCCCCCCCCCCCGCACCCCTTCGGCACGCTGCCCCTCTGGAACCAGACCCCCTGAGGAGAGGCTCTCATCACGGCCTCCTACAGGCTGAACCAGTCACCATCCCAGTCAGGGTTCCCTCCTTCCCACTCCTCCCCACATAGTACTATAGCAATGTCCTCCTGTTGTTCATCGATTTGCTCAAGCGGGCACCAGTAACACCTCCATTGTGAGACTTGTTGTTACTGTGTTTGGCATATCGAATATGTGATGGGGAGCCTGCCAGGCTCTGCCGTGTGGGCGAGATACTCTCGGTAGCTTGCCGGGCTCTCCAAGAGGGATGGAGGAATCGAACTCTGGTCGGCGGCCTGCAGGGCAAACGCCCTACCGCTGTGCTCTCGCTCCAGCCCCCAAGTAGCAAGGAGAAAATAATACAGCTGGGTGGTCAAGAGACTAGAGTCCCCCTTCAGCCTCCCCTCCTGGCTCTCGGAGGACAGAGAAGGTACTACGGAGCACTGGGCACAGATGGGAGGTTGTCAGAGAAGATGTTCTGGGGGACTCAGGGAAGGGAATCAAATCAGATACCACACACAGCCTCCTGCTTCAGGGATGAGGCCGAGGTTAAGAGACACCTGGAATTAGAGGCTTGTGTTAGAGGGTTTATTTGGGGCTGCAGTGACAGTATATTAGGAAGGGGGATTGCCTTGCAAGAATCAAACCCAGTTTTGATCCCTGGCACCCCAGATGGGATACAGAGCAAGGAGTTATTCCTGAGCAGTGTGGAGAAAGAGAAGGAAGGAAGGGAGGGAGGGAGGGAGGGAGGGAGGGTGGGAGGGTGGGAAGAACGAGGGAATGAGGGAGGGAGGGAAGGAAGGGAGGGAAGGAAGGAAGGAAGGAAGGAAGGAAGGAAGGAAGGAAGGAAGGAAGGAAGGAAGGAGGGAAGGAGGGAAGGAGGGAAGGAAGGAGGGAAGGAAGAGAGGGAGGGAGGGAGGGAGGGAGGGAGGGTGGGAGGGTGGGAAGAAGGAGGGAATGAGGGAGGGAGGGAAGGAAGGGAGGGAAGGAAGGAAGGAGGGAAGGAAGGAGGGAAGGAGGGAAGGAAGGAGGGAAGGAAGAGAGGGAGGGAGGAGGGAGGGAAGGAGGGAGGGAGGGAGGAAGGAAGGGAATGAGGGAGGGAGGGTGGAAGGGAGGGAAGGAGGGAGGGAGGGAGGGAGGGAGGGAGGGAGGGAGGGAGGGAGGGTGGAAGGTGGCAGCCAAAGTCAACTCGGAACTTCCTGTTCCATCAGTGTCCCGGGCCATACTCTGTCCAAGTGATCATTCTGGCCAAAGGACCATGACACTCTAGCAACCGAACCATTGACGTCATAGCCTTCACTTTCACACCCGCCACTGGAAGGCCGGATGAGGAAAGGAGAGGCTAATCACCTTCAGTCTCTGGGGAGGGCTCCTCTGTCCAGGCTCGGCTGCCACCTCACTGATCCTGACAGGGGCAAATTTCCAAGGCACCACACATACCATAGTCATGGTTGGTCGTCTGTTAGGGTGAGCGGGGTGCACTTGTGGAAGACCTCCTAGGTGGAGGAAGGGGTAGCAACCACCATGAGGTGGTTGGGGCGGGGGGGTTCTCTCAGGAGGGAGATGGAGGACCTGTCTCTGGCCTGACTTGGGAAGTGTTTGGGGGTCTAACTTGGAGTGTATGTGAGGGTTGACTCCAGGACTGGCCGCAGCTGCCTCGGTCTGCCTCAAGGCATGTTGATTTGCTCTGTTTGGGGTCACATTCCACTGTGCTCAGGACTTACTCCTGGCTCTGCGCTCAGTAATCACTCTTGGTGGTCTCGGGACCCTATGGTTGCTGAGGATCAAACCTGGGTTGGTCGTGTGCAAGGCAAGTGCCCTCCCCACTGTACTATAACTCGGTCCACTGCCTCAAGCTCCAGCTCCTCGTCCATACCCTCAGGTGACCTGATCGTCTGTAGCACTGTCCTGCTCTCCTAACGAGACTGGACAGGTACAGAGCAGGGATTCCTGAAGCACTCTTGACATGCTCTAGCCCACCTCTCTGGCCCACCATTCCTTCCAGCTCTCCTTTGGTAGGAAAGCTGCATTCAGGATCTCCTCCTCCCCCCACCCCCAAGTAGTTGATGCTGGTGGCTAAGGGTTTCACACTGTGGATGGGTTCTGAGGCTTCTGTCCTCTGCGTTTGCTCCCTGACAGCTCTCCACCTCACAGGCACAGAGTCCTATGCTTCTCACCACCGTGGCCATGCCTGTCTTCAGCAAAAAGAACGAAACGGTGAGTGGCCACCGTCCAAGCCCAAGACACTGTGACAGGGCTTGGAACCAGGGTTACCGGCTGGTAACTATAGGTCAATGGTTTGCTTTTTTTTTTTTTTTTTGCTTTTTGGGCCACACCCAGTGATGCTCAGGGGTTACTTCTGGTTCTGCACTCAGGAACTACTCCTGGTGCTCAGGGGGCCATATGGCATGCCAGGGATCGAACCAGGGTCAGCAGTGTGCAAGGCAAACGACCTACCCGCTGTACTATCTCTCCGGCTCCTGGCTTGCTTTCTTAACCTTTTCCCCCTTCCTTTGCCTTGCCTTGCTCATCCTTTCTCTCTCATCCCCTTCCCTCCCCTTCCTTTCTCTTCCCTTCCCAAGGGACATGAATGGAACCCAAAGCGTGGTTTGTGCTCTACCATTGAACATCATCCCCAGGCCCCGACCAATGTTCTTGACCAGGCTGGGAACTGAAGCCACTTAGGGAAGGCAGATCCTGGGCTCTGTGCTCATCTCATTGTATCACAGTCTCTTGGTTAGGAGGGACCAGCACGGGGTAAGAACCTACCTATGAGTGGAATGGTAGGGATTGAGTCCAGACTTCTGACAGTTCCCCCAGTGAGCTGTTCAGACAGCTTGGGGTAGCTTAGGGTAGCTGCTCACTGCTCTGTTCTTGTGACCACAGCCCTGGGGATACCGTGGAGTTGAAGAATCCACCCGACAGACTTCCCAAAGGACTATACTTAACCTACCTGGAGGGACTCCAACTGCCTCTGGAGAGGGAAATTCTAGAACCTTCAATCCTCAATCTCACCAGCAAGTTCTTGTGTGTTCAGTACATCCATGGATTAGGTTCCCTGAGATCAGATACTTTATTCTCTGCTGTGAAGATTAATATTCCACTCAACTTTGTATTTCATGTAAACATTTCAACTTAACTATTAATACTGGACATTCATCTTCACAACAATGGAGATCACTCCTGAGGGCTCTTCTGGGTTTTTATTCTAGGAGATAGACTAGAATCTAACTGTTCAGCAGAGATTGTCTAGGAAGGCCTGGATGATTTTCTCCTCCTGGCTCTGGACAACTTTCCAGACACAGCAGAAGCCGGCTCTGCCCTGACCCTGGTGCTTTTTCTCCCCAGCGATCCCACGGCATCCTCCTGGGTGTGGTGGGCTCTGACGTGGCCCTGCGGGAGCTGATGAAGCTGGCGCCCCGCTACAAGGTGAGCCCGGCCGGGTCCTAAGTGGGGATCGCAGATACTCCAAGTCCTGGGGGGGTCCGCTGCTCTATTCCTGCACCAACAGCCTTGGTGTTGGGTAGAACAGGCCGCCTGCCAACTTTCCAGATGAACTATACTTAACCTAGTTGTTTGGAGGGGCACTAGTGAGGGAATTTCTATCCTCCATTCGGCCAGAACCTGTCCCGCCAGAAGTAGGAGCCTCTCCAGATAGCAGTGCCATGTCCAGAGAGGAGAAGAGCCTTCCCTCCTGTCCCCAGAGAACTCTGTCACCACCAGATCTCACTTGTCTGTCCCTCGGCGAGTTTTCCCTTCCTGGTGACTCTGCTCCTCACTCCACTCTCCCTGTCAGGCAGTGGCGGGGGGAAGCAATGAGATTCTACCCCAAAGATGTGGCCGGAATAAACTGGGATGGCTGTTGTTGTGGTTGCCGTGAGTAGTCGAATGTGGCCCAGAATTCAACATTGATGCCAGAGGCATGGTGCTGGCTCTACTATATCCCTTCTTTGAAAATTTCACCCCCACGAGTTGCCAACTTTACCTATCTCCTTCCTGACTCCAACACAAAGAGAAGCTCTGAGGCATGACTACCCCTGTCTCTGGCAGCTTGGAGTACACGGATATGCCTTTCTGAACACCAACAATGGCTACATCCTCTCACACCCTGACCTCCGACCCCTGGTAGGTAAAGACATCATTACTTTTATTGTCACTGTCACTGTCTTCCCGTTGTTCATCGATTTGCTCGAGCGGGCCCAGTAATGTCTCCATTGGAGACTTTGTTGTTACTGTGCTTGGCATATCGAATACGTCATGGGTAGCTTGCCAGGCTTTGCCACGAGGGTAAGATACTCTCGGCAGATTGCCGGGCTCTCTGAGAGGAGCAGAGGAATCGAACTCGGGTTGGCCATAATGGCCCCTCGCAAGGCAAACGCTCTACCTCTGTGCTATCACTCCAGCCCAATTATTTTTATTATTATCTTTATTACTGTTGTTGTTATTATTATTATTATTGCTTTGGGATCTTATCTCTGTGGGGATAACTGCAGTTAGAATAGCTCTTCACTGAGGAGAGCATAACTGGATTACAGGAGAAAATAACTGTAGTCACATTTCATGTTGTTTGTGAATAGAAACAAGGTGAGCCCCTGAAAACTGAGCTCTGAAGAGCTCAGCAAGCAGGAGAGGAGGGCACCGGTCTCCCGGCAGCCAACAACACCCAGTCTCCTTTGTTGCTTGGAGTCTGTGGCACCTGAAAATTTTAGGAGTCCACCGATGGGGCAATGAATGTGGAGCAAACAATAAAAATGACAGGAAGCCCCCCATCCCTAAAAGTTGAGAGCAGCGGATCCCAGGGCTCCCAGAATTTTTCTTGGGGTTTATCCCTGAGTGCCCCTGCCTCTTTCCTGATGAAGGAGTCAGAGGCATTTTCACATGTATCTGTTGACCAACCATTGGCCAAGAAAGGAAGGGCTGTTATTTGGTCTAAAAGTTCTGTCTCAGGGCTGGATCAATAGCAAGGGGGTAGGGCGTTTGCCTGCACGCAGCCAACCCGGGTTTGATTTCCAGCATCCCATATGGTCCCCGAGCACCACCAGGAGTAATTCCTGAGTGCAGAGCCAGGAGTAAACCCTGTGCATCACCGGGTGTGACCCAAAAAGCAAAAATAAATAAATAAATAAATACATTGTAACTCTGGGTGAGAGCTGGTGTTGAAAGGAGGTAAAGTGATGTGCTTGATACCCTTTCACTAACAGTATTGCCAATTTTCAGTGCTTGAAAGGAAAAAAAAAAATAAAGTGTCTGCCAGCGTGGCAGTCTAGGGTTCTGGAGGGAAACTAGAGACAGTATCGGAGGGAAGTGGACACAGGCGAAAGTGGTGAGTGCTTCAACATTGCATGTCTGAAACTTGGTCATGGATAACTACATAACTTTGCCATCCATGGCAATTCAGTGAATTAAACCAATCAGTCAATAAAAATTCTTTCTGTCTGCAAAAATTCTTTCTGTCTCCGACTGCCCCTGATCAGAACACTCCTGGGACCTCTTGGTGTAGTTGTTGTGGCCAGAGTGGAAAGAGCCGTTGAGGCCTAGAGGAAACCACCTTCCCCTCTACCAGTTGAGTGTTAATGCTGAGACCAACTGATATCAAGATCACCTTTCCCATAATTACTGGAGGGGATCCTTGCCCAGGCTCTCAGAGATCACCCAAGCCACGGGTTCAGGGACATACTCATGAGACGTCTGATTAGAGAAAGACAAGGACATGCTAGATTCTTTCCTGATCAGACTCTGCCGGGCAAACCTATAAACTCATAGTGCTTATGGACCTATCCCAGTAGCCACACAGCGACTCACTGTGGACATCATCACTACTTCATCAACATGTTGGTTGATAAAGACCTGACTTGTAGAACTAAGTGGCAGTGGTCAAAAAACCCACCCATCCACCCTGATGTAATATGGATGAATGTAAAACTTCAACGAATCAATTTATGCATGAACCTACTGTTTGCTGACTTTACAATGATCTGAAGTATGCAAGAAGTAGAGGTTTGTAGGAAGGGGCTGAGATATGTCATAAGTAGTACCCTCCCCCCCTCAGAGGCTCAAGTGTCACCCTGGTCGCCCAGTGCACCCCCCTACACACAGCACCTCTGTTGGTGCTGGCCACCACACAATGTTTAAAAGAACAGAAATTTATAGTTTATGAGGAACTAACTAGAGTCCACTAATGGATTTATACAAATGAGACCATCTGAGAACAATATAGGGCAGGACAGTGCATAATAAAGGTCATGGCAAGGTCGAAGTAAGGGAACATTATCAATTTATGATATGAAGGAGGTAAATGTTTGTTTTTATTTTTATTTTTTGGCTTTTTGGGTCACACCTGGCGATGCACAGGGGTTACTCCTGGCTCTGCACTCAGGAGTTACTCAGGGTGGTGCTCAGGGGACCATATGGGATGCTGGGGATAGAACTCGGGTCGGCCGTGTGCAAGGCAAACGCCCTCCCCGCTGTGCTATCTCTCCAGCCCCAAATGTTTGTTTCTAAAAGAAAAATAGAGGCCAGAGTGACAGTGGGTAAATCATTTGCCTTGCACACAGTTGACCTGCTTTCGATCCCTTGTACCCTGTATATATTCCCCCAAGCTCACCACGAGTGATCCCTGAGTGTAACAGTATTAAGCAGTAGTGAGCCCTGAGCACCACTGGAGGTAGTGCAAAAATAAAAACGAAAGTTAAGAAAAGAAAAAATTGGCAGGGTGGAAGGGTGGTATGTCCAGGAATACATCAAAAGCTATTCAGGGAGTTGGAGTGATAATATCATGGGCAGGGTGTTTGCCTTGAATGCAGCCAATGCAGGTTTGATCCCCAGCACCCTGTATTGTCCCCTGAGCCACCTAGGAGTGATCTCTGAGCACAGAGCCAAGAGTAAGCCCTGAACACTGCCAGGTGTGGCACCAAAACAATCAAAAGGAGTTCAGAATCATACAATAGAACTGAAATCTTTCTATATCCAAAGTAGAAGTAACAAAGAATTACAAGTCAAATTATGGTTTGAAGATATGCATAGTCAAGGTGCATTTGGTTTTGTTTTTCTTTTTGGGTCATACCCAGCGATACACAGGGGTTACTCCTGACTCTGCACTCAGGAATTACTTCTGGCAGTGCTGTGTGTGTGTGTGTGGGGGGGGGGGGGGGCTCATATGGGATGCTGGGAATCGAACCTGAGTCAGCCACATGCATGGCAAACGCCCTACCTGCTGTACCATTGCTCTAGCCCCTCAAGGTGTATTTTTAGGAATCCTCAAGGATTAGGATAGGACGGTGTGCTGTGGCATCCAACTCAAATGTAAAAGGTGGCAGGACAGTGTTGCATTCCTGGGTGCCAATATGGCCAAGAATGGCAATTTCCTCCAAACTTGGTGAGGTGAAACGAAAATGAAGGGGAATGAAGCTGGTGTGGGTGTCAGACTGCAGACCCCCTTCGGTAAGCAAGGAACAGCAGGATGCTTTCTTGAAAAAATCCTGGCAGATGCTTGATGATTGAGAATTTTAATCATCCAAGCCTCACCATGGAGGCCTCATTCAGCTCAAAGCAGTTCCTCTGGTTGGTTCTTAACTTTTACAAATGATAAACCTCTTTCCTTTCCTTGAAAGGAGTACTAACATAAATCTGAAAAGGTCTAATGACAGATAACGAGGCAATCTCTGTCTTGGTATCAGAAAGAGAGAGAGAGAGAGAGAGAGAGAGAGAGAGAGAGAGAGACAAGTCAGGACCAGATAATAACCTTCAGAGAGTGCTGATTAATGACTCTCTTCCAGACCAGGAGGAGGTCTTTATTGAACACTGCAGAATCTATCTGTCCTGGGCTCCAGCCTATCAAAAATCCTATTAACAGGATGAAAACACAGAAGGCAGATGCTCAGAGAGTCTGGAAAGTGTGGCTAACACATTAAGGGAGATGATTAGTATTCAGAAAACATTCTTCTCCAACAATGCCCAGAAACTAACAAGATGAAGCCCATCCGAAGTACAGGGCTAGGGGTGCTGTGATAGCACAATGGGTAGGGCATTTGCCCATTTGCCTTGCACGTGGCTGACCCAGGTTCAGTTCCCAGCATCCCATATGGTCCCCTGAGTAATTCCTGAGTGCATGAGCCAGGAGTAACCCCTGTGCATTGCCAGGTGTCACCCAAAAAGCAAAAAAAAAAACCGTACAGGGCTGGTTTGCCAAATAGGAAATGTTGGAATGTAAGTTTATGAAGATGTCATTGAATGGTGCACCCCAAAAGAAGAGCCAAGAGGGTTTCAGCAGGGTTTTAGTCATATCCCATACCACACTGGCCAGACCCCATCTGAAACCTTGGCTTCGTGCCTTGCACGCTGATTAAGGAGTGGTATTAATCAAGCAGTGCATATTCAGAGGAAACTGAGGCTTGGGAAAACCGGGAATGCTCGGATCAGTGAAGTCCCAGAAGTGACAAGTGTCTTCAAAAATCTCGAGGGTTGTCAGATAGGAGCTTTCTGCATAGCTCCAGGGGGAAGGCAAAGACTGACAGATTTCAGCTCTGTGTGAGGAAGAACTTTCTAACAATTAGAGCCATCCAAAACTATGACAAACTGACACAAAAACAGGGAGTCACATACTGTGGGAGATGTTCACTCAGAGGCCAGAAGACTCTCGGCTACAACGGTTGTCAAAGGAAGCTCCGCATTGGGTGGAAGTTAGGCCCAGATAACCTTGAAGAGTCACTGAGATTCTTTGATTGCCTGCATATACCCAAAAGACTTTCTACAGGAGATGTAAGAGAGGTTAACCTCAGATTTTTCTGCTTTCTTTCTGACCTGCTCTCTCAAGTATAAGGAGGGGAACAAACTGATCCCCAAACCAAACTACAACAGCGTGGATCTCTCAGAAGTAGAGTGGGAAGATCGAGGTGAAATCGTGAGTCGGGGGAAAGTGGGAGAAAAAGGAGCATCTCAGCTCTACAGCCAATGCACTGAGATCCGCTCCAAGGCAGAGGAATTTCTGCGAAGGGCAAATCTCTCCATGACTCGAAATGCATGGCAATGTGTTTCTGGCTTGCAAACATTACTGAGATCAGGTCTATTGACTACAGAACTTCACTGTGGCGATGTTGAGTCTGGCTTTGGGCTTCAGTACCTTATCCCAGGGGAAATTATGGTTCAGGAAAATGACATTGGGTGCCCTCCTGAATCAGTCCACTTAGAGCATTATCTTGGTGAATGAGTAGAATTTTATGTAAATGGAACTGAGAATTGGGTCTATAGACCCTTTCCATATTCTGCTCAAAAAAAGGGCAACAACAAAGTTTTTCTAGACATTATCTCCAATCTGGGCACTAGCATTCAAATGTGAGACAAAACAAGGACTATCACTGTTATCTTTGTTGTATTGTTTTTCTTCTTTGTTTTGTTCTATTGTGGGGTTGGGGGAGGTTGGCGCCACACCCAACCAACCTAAGGGATTACTTCCGGCCCTGTGTTTAGTGATCACACCCGGCAGTACTTAGGGAACCCTATGTGGTATCAAGGACTAAATCTGGGTGGTCATACAGGACAAGCCTTTAACCAACTGGACTATCTTCTCCGGCCCCACTAATACTAATATCTTTCTTCTCCAAGCTGAGAACTGCCATGATCAATAGGGAAACGGGTTCTCTCTCTATGGACGTGAAGGTTCCGTTGGACCAAGGGGTAAGAAACAGGGTATGGTCTCAGGGAGACAGCATCACAGTTAATTAAGGTTTGGGTGGTGATGAGGGACTGGACCTAGTTGAATTTAAAGTGCTTGTTGTACAGGGCTGGAGCTATAGCACAGCGGAGAGGGCATTTGCCTTGCATGCGGACGACCTGGGTTCGATTTCCAGCATCGCATATGGTTCCCCGAGCACTGCCAGGAGTAATTCCTGAGTGCAGAACCAGGAGTGCATCTCCGGGTATGACCCAAAAAAGAAAAAATAAATAAATAAAGTGCTTGTTGTAGCCTGAGGGGCTGATTACAGAGTAGAGCACATGTACATCAGAGAAGCAGCCAGCCGAGAAACTGTTGAGCATGTCAACACTTGCTCTGACCAGGGCAGTTGGCTTAAGTCACTTACATCTCCAGCTGCTATCTTTTACAGCCTCTTCAGTATTTATGGTAGAAAGGGGGAGGGGGTATGACGGTTAATTCTTCACATTGTTAGCAGCTCTTTTGAAACTGAGGGGGAAATCTGAAAATTGTTCTCCCTTCAACTAATTGTCATCCACTGCAGCCACAGCAAATCAAGAATCAATCTTTGAGAAACAGAAAAGTCGCTCTACCCTCCCTGATACCACCAACATCTTCACAGACCCGCACATCATTTACAAAAGATTCCTTCCTCCCATCGTTTAAAAGATTCCGATGCCTTTTCACTGAATTTGCATTGTCCCTTGACATATTTACAAATGTCACCTCCTCCCGCACAGCCACCCCCACCTCCTCCTGCTGCCCATCTGCGTCAGCTAAAAGAACACAGGCATCTGCCTGCAACGATTAGCCCCAAGATCTTCCACAAACACGACCTCCATAGAAGCCAGATAAGAAAGCATCAAGGAGGAAAAGCAGGTCATGGTGTTCCGGGTAGACACACAGACCAATTGTCACTGGGACCAGTATCTCTGAGCTGAGAAGGGAGACTTAGTAATATCCCTGGTGTCAGAACACTGGTCTCAACACTCCTGATCCCCCAAAGCAGAAGGCTCTGTCATGCCCCTCCACCCCAATCCTAAAATACTCCAGCACTTGTGTTTGAAGGAGCTCTGCCTTAGTCTGGCCACGCCACAACATATAATGGAGAGCATTTCCTGCTCTGATGAAAAATGTCATGTGCACATGCTCTAAAACAATTTGAGAACTACTATTCTCCGTGGAATTCCAGAGGATAAGGGAAAGGGTGGAGTAGTCTTCCCTCCCGCCCTTCCTCCTGGTGCTTCGACGTTTCTCATTCTTCCTTTGCACATCTCAAAGCCATCTCGACGCTTCCTAAACCTCTGTCCATCCTTGTGAAAGGTCCATTGCTGTCCACTACTGTTGCTGCATCACTAATGCAACTGATCCACCACTGCTCTGGACAAAGTATTAAAAGACCAGCATTTATAGACCCTTGAAAGTGTCCAAAAGCAGATAGAAACAAAGGCTACAGAATTCAACCCTTGAATCTAGAGAACGGTGTCGGGTGACATGAACATTGTTAGGTCTCTCTTCCTCCATGAAGTGCACATGCCAGTTTGCTTGGAAAGAAATCAACTAGAATTTGAGCAGAAAGCTGTAGTCGACATTTCAGAGTACCGGAGAATTTTCAGTCAAGGTGTGTTAAAAAGGAGGGGAGGGGCTGGAGCGATAGTACAGCGGGTAGGGCGTTTGCCTTGCATGCGGCTGACCCAGGTTTGATTCCCAGCATCCCGTATGGTCCTCTGAGCACCACCAGGAGTAATTCCTGAGTGCAAAGCCAGGAGTAACCCCCTGTGCATTGCCGGGTGTGACCCAAAAAGCGAAAAAAAAAAGAAAAAGAAAGAAAAGGAGGAGAGATGTCCGAGCAGTGGGAGAGCCACAGGTAAGTTGGCCCTGACAGGTGTACCAACTCTGAAAGTCTGAAAGTCATAGCCGACTCAAAGAAACACAAGAAGGAGGTGCAATAGAGGTTGTGATTGTCTCGAAGCTAGCTGTGTCCTAACCCAAGAGCATAACAGAACATATCAGGGCAAATTATGACAGTGCCTGATATCTGGACTCAATTTTTTTATGCTTTTTTGGGGGGTTACACCCGGCAATGCTCAAGGGCTACTCCTGGCTCTGCATTCAGGAATTACTCCTGGCGGTGCTCAGGGGACCCTCTGGGATGCTGGGGATTGAACCCGGGTTGGCCACATGCAAGGCAAACACCCTTCCCACTGTACTATCGCTCTGGCCCCTAAACTCACTTCTTAATGTGTGTATTGCACCCTGCTTCACTCCTGCTCTACAAATCCCATGCAAACTTCTCTTTTTGACTAACTTTCATTTGGCTCCATTCCAAAAGGAGAGTCTAGGAACTATAGCTCCAGCTTAGCTGATTTGGTGTGGTCCAATACAAGAGCCAAACCTAGGAGCGAGAGATAATTCAGCAGACTGAGGCATGCTTTGCATACACAAGTTCCAAGTTTGATCCCCAGCACAACTTCGTTCCCCACGTATGCTTTTGGGGGGTGGGTCGGGGGTTATTGTATGTCCTCCAAACCACACCCCAAAATCCCAGAAGCCCAGTGGCTATTCTAAAATGCAAGCATAGAACAGCTGAAAAGAAAGTTTTGTTTTAGAGGTTAACAGCAGATGAGGAGGGAGGAGGGTGGGGCAGGGACATTTCAAGACAAATGGAAACAATCTGATCTGAGGGAAAAACAACGAATGTTTATCTTTCAATTCTTTCTAAAATAATATCTAGTGACCTCATCAATCCACGAGGAAAGAAAGGAAATGAGGACATTTTCAGATAAATAGAGTTCTGTATCCCCATCACGTCCTCACAAGAGATGCTCCAGGGAGATCTTCTGGCTGAAGACAAAATAACACAGATGGAGAGAAACTCGGGTCTACACAAGGAAATGAGCAGCACTGGAAATGGAAACTATGTGGGTTAACGCAGGACTTCATTCTTTTCGCCTCTCAAAAACGCAGCTATTAAAAGCAAAAAAAATTGACATCTTAAGTTTTATGATATATGCAAGCATAAGGCTTACAGCAACAATAACACAGAACAGAATTATTCCAAGACATTGAATGTTCAATACAGTTTAGATTAACAGAGTAAAGGGGAAAATGCTTCTCTGTTTATCACAGTAGTTGAATATTCTCAAGTTAATTTCCCCACATCTACTGAAAGGCATCTAGAAAAGGCTCATTTTAACCCCCCCCCCTAAAAATGTGTTTTTAGTTGAGGCAAAGTGAATTACAATGCCATCAATGACTGGGTTCCGTGCGTGCATATAATGCCACAAAATCAAGTTCCTCCAGCAGAGCATCTGCTTCACTCCGTCATTGTCTCCGGCTTCCCTCCCAAGCCACCCAAAAAAAGAAATGAAAAAAGCAAGGCATAGATTATACCCAAAATACACAAGGACTCAAACAAACCATTAACAAAAAGACTAAAAACCACTGAAAATTGGCCAAAAGATTCAAGCAGACACTTCACAAAGGAGGGTTTACACAGGACCAATAAGCATATGAGATGTTCGAATCTTTAGTCATCGGGGAACTGCAAATTAAAACAACAAAGAGATTCCATTTCACACCCTCTACAATGACTAAGATTTTAAACAGTCATACCAAATTCTGGCAAAAATACGGGCAAATTTGAACGCACACATGGCTAGTGGAAGAACGGAGTATAAATGTTGGGGAGATGTTTGGCAGATAGCTCTCTCCACAGACAAACATACATTTAGCATGGGCCCAACTATCCCATTCCTGGGTATTTTCCAGGAGGAATGAAAATGCATCCACACAAGAAGACTGGTCCAAAAAATATCTAAGCTTGGCACATGACAGCCCCAAGCTGGAAGCCCAAAAAGCACATGCAAGAGGAACGTGAGAGCCAATGCAGGTGTCCACATACTGGGGTCCTGCTTGTGTTCTGTACCACCCGCTCAGACTCCCCCTCGACATTGCTGTCGACACGAATGGGGGGTCACATGCCTTGGGTCATGGTGCTCGCTGGGGGTTATACCTTGGCTGTGGTGCTCTTATGGTTCTCTACAGTGCTCCCTGACGTTCACCCACTTGCTTATCCTTGCACAAATGCTCTCAAAGCTGCACGCTTTGATTACAGTGCTCACACACATTCTGGTTGCCAGATTCACGGCAGGAGAGGAAGTGTGCGGTGCTCCACACATGTTCCCTCGGGGTCTCATTCCTGGCCACAAGTGCTCACTTGTCTCCCAGCCATGGTGCTTGCACACATCCGTTCTCTGATGATCACACATGCTGTTGTGGCTCTGGATGTCCCAGAGAGCAGAGCCAACAGGAATATGTCCTGTGGGTGACACGGGGGACCAAACTCTTGGCCTCGGGCTTGGAAGGGAGACACTTTTTTTTAATCACTGATCTATTCCTCCACCCCAGCCCAGACTGGTACACTATTAAAAATCCAGTAGCATAGACTGTCACTGTCCTCCCGTTCTTCATCGGTTTGCTTGAGTGGGCCCAGTAACGTCTTCACTGTGACAATTGTTACTGTGTTTGGCATATCGAATATGTCACAGGGAGCTTGCTATGCATTGCCGTGCGGGCGAGACACTCTCGGTAGCTTGCCGGGTTTTTTGAGAGGGGCACAAGAATCGAACCCGGCTCAGCAGGGCTGGCTGCGCCACTCAAGGCCCTACCACTGTGCTATTGCTCCAGCTCTAGCATAGACAGTTCTTTAAAATATGCTGAGAAATATATATGTATCTACATCTATATATATACATATATATATACATACATATATCACGAAGAGGAAAAACCAGTCTGTAGTGATAATTACTCAGTCTGTAGTGATTATTACTCAGAACAGAGTTCACTGGTGTATGTGCCAACTGAAAAGAAAACAAGGATATAAAAATTCCATAACCTGATGGAGGTGGTTGATACACTGATCACAACTAAGGGAATTATATACTTAAGACTGATGCACTTCACCTTTTCCTTCAATTATAAAATAAAAGGAGTTTAAAAAAAGATGGCCTCCAGAGCCAGAACGATAGGACAGTTTGACTCGCACACGGCTGACCTGGTTTCAATCCTGGCACCCCATCCGGTCCTCCGAGCCCACTAGGAGTGTGGTGGGGATGGCTGCCCTGAGAAACAGAGCCAGGAGTAAATCCTCAGCAATGCTGTTTGTCGCCCCAAAACAAAACAGGCGAACAAACAAAAAGATGGTCTCTGGTTCCCACAATCAAGACACCCTGAAGTACAGAGCTTTCAAGCCCATAACTAACTTATGCACCCCCGTGCCTTAAGGAGACTCCCAGGCTCCCCAGGAGTGGCTGTCATGGAGGGTCCCTGGAGAAACGAACAGGATGAGACCCAAAGGTTGGAGACATCACCTGGAACAAGATGGGTGCTCCAGAGCTGTGCATTCGACTTCCATCTAAGTCAGTTTCCTGTAGAAACAAACTTTTGCCAACTCTTTCCCTCTGCGTTCTTTCAACACCTTACTACAAATTTCAAAAGGGAATAGATATACGAGAGAGAGAGAAAGAGAGATAGAGAGAGAGAGCGAGCGAGCGAGAGAGAGAGAGAGAGACAGAGACAGAGAGAGAGAGAGAGAGAGAAAGTGAAGATTCACAAATAGCTCCGAAACCAACAGCTTCCTGTGACCTTCCCCATGACAGGTGTCTGCCTCCAGGAACCACCCCCCAAATTCTTAGACCAGAGCAAATCCCTGGCACCCCACCATCCACTACCGCTCTCCCACCACTCACACCATCTCTGCAGCCTCATGCACGACAAGGTCTTGTTCGTCCTGATCTACCGAGGAGAATAAGGTGTCTGGAAATGAGCAGTCAGCTTGAGGGTGGCCAAGACCGGCTTCATTATCAACCCAGGTCACTCCTAGACCATCTACTACCTGATCTCTCACCTGTTCCAAGTCAACATAAACCAAAACAATGGCAGCTTTGGAAAGAAAATGAAGTTGTAAAGAACCACATGGCTGGGAAGGGATACATGGAGGGAACAGTGCTCCCACTCTCCAAGAGAGCAAACATGTGCTTACCAGCTAGCAGCCCTCTCGTGAGTCTCCACAACCCCTAGAGCTGCTGTCTACACCACTCTGTGCAGCTTAGTATCCTTGAGCCACTCTGGTTAACTTGAACTTTGCCTTTGGTAAAATTCAAATAATTCGCTCCCTCAGCTATGCCTTTCAAAGCGCTGGTTGCCACATGACTTGTGGTGACCCTAGTAGGCAGCGCAGGTCTAGACCTCGGTCCTTGGGTCCACCTAGCCCCGATGGGATGCAGTTTGTAGAGCCTGGTGAGGACTCTGTCTTGCTGGCACCAAATCAGATGAGGATGGCCCAGCAGGGGGTGAGGACAGGAAGCTGGGTGGCTTGAAGAGAGGAAACTGGCATTTGGGAAGGAGGTAGGTGTCCTGACTACTCTTCTTGCCAGAAAACCCTGTTTCTTTTCTGCTCTTCCAGAAGAGAGTTCTTTTCCTCACCAATGACTACTTCTTCACAGACATCAGTGACACACCTTTCAGGTGAGGGGTTGATGTGGTAAGCACTGAGGAAAGGATGGGTGGATTGGAAACCAACGATTGTGAATAGCTTTCTGTCTGAACGACATACTTGCTTGTATTTAGTTGACAATTTTGTGATTATGGAGAAAGATTCAAAAAAGGGAAGGTCTAAAAATAATGAGTGGGGAGGGGGGATGTCTAAATCTGCATTGCCAGTGTAACCTCGACTGCAGCTTCTGGAACTAAACTACCAGGGTTGGTTTGAATCCCAGGTTCCCCACTGGTGACCTTCCTCCATTCACCTAACTGCCCCAGGCCTTATGTTCCTCATGGAAAGTGAAGGCAATAATATTAGTGAGGTCTTTGGGTCCTGTAAAGACTACATGACAGCCTCTACTTGGAGGCGGTAAAGCCATGCCTTATTTTTTTATAGATTCATCATTATTAAGACCCTCTTTATTTCCTAAGTATGAGACATAATTGCTTTCCTTTTTTGTAGACTTACAAATTTTTGTGCTTGGGTGTCAGTTATACAATGATCCAGTACCCATCCCTCCACCAGTGCCCGTTCTCCATCATTTACATTTTTTAAAAAATTTTTGTTAGTGAAACACCATGAGGTACAGTTGTAGATTTACAAATTTTGTGCTTGGGTTTCAATTGTACAATGATCAAACACCCAGCCCTCCACCAGTGCCCATTCTCCACCACCACCATCCCCAGTATCCCTCCCACCCCTAACCTGTGTTCATGGTGCAGGAGTGGGCTGGGCCCTGATCACTGGTGCGGTTTGCAAACTGACCTTCTTCTCTGCCCACAGTTTGGGAGTGGTGCTGTCTCAGGGTCATGGAGAGTATATCCTCCTGGGGAACACGTCTGTGGAAGAAGGTGGGTGCCAAGCACTGAGAGACATTCAGAGAGGGAGGGATGCTGTGGGAGGTTAGGCTGAGCAGGGACACCTGTCTGAGTGCCCAGGAAGCTTAGGCTGTGCCACTCAAACACAACAGGGCCTACTCCATGTCAACGGTTCATGGTCAGCTTCTAGGGGTGCTCTTTGGGGTTTTTGTTTTTTTGTTTGTTTGTTTTTCTTTGGGGGCCACACCCGGCTATGCTCAGGGATTCCTCCTGGCTCTGCACTCAGAAATCACTCCTGGCAGTGCTTTAGGGACCCTATGGGATGCTGGGAATCGAACCAGGTCGGCCGCGTGCAAGACAATCGCCGTACCCGCTGTGCTATCACTACAGCCCGTCGGGATGTTCTTTGGGGTCACGGCTCACAGGTGTGTGTTTCTCATGCTGATCCGTCGTAGTTCGCTGAAACTGCTGTGTGAAACACCACACATAGCCTCCACAAGCCAGGGAGGGACCCCAACCCCATCATGATCCTTCAGATCCTGGGACCCCAGTCTCCTTGGCCGTGGCGGCAGAACTGCCCTTATGAGCCCCACCCTTGCCTGGCTTCTCCCTTGTATCTCTTGTTTTCTCCTCTGATAAGAATGCAGACACATTGGTTAGGCTCCCCTTAGAGGACTTGCCTTAACTTGACCAGCTCTACCAGAACTCTCTTTCTGAACCGTCTCCCGTCACAGGCTCGGGGACACAGTCCTGCTCTTGAGGGGAAAGACAGGGGGAGGGAACCCGAGATGCTCATCTTTGAATTCCGTCTGCTTGGAGCTGCCTCAAGACCTTAGAACAAAGTCTGTGTCCTAGCCCAGAAACCCAGGCTGTCGTGTTCACAAGTTTACCACGCCTAGTTACCTGTCCTTGCACCTCCCTCCTGATAACCTCAGTGGCCTCACATGGTCTCCTGCTTCCTTCTTCCCCTGAAGTTCTGGAGCGGTATCCTTCCAGACGCGCCAAGTGGGCCTGAAGTGCTTCGCTTTGCTTTCCCTGCGCATAACGTCACCGGCCTTCCCTGTGCGAGGTCCCCCTGAGAGGCTCTCCTCTCACTCCCCCCCCCCCGCCAGTTCTGCTAAGCTGGCCACTCCTCAAGCTCCAGATGGCATTTGTGGGATGGGGGCCCTGTCCCAGACAGATGGCAGGGCAGGTGCTCTGCTCTGTGCTTCCAGGGAACCTTATGTTGGCCCCACCACCGCTGGTGCAGGGAGGTTAGAGACCTCTCTTCTTCGTGGTCTATGGACCCCCACCCCCCAGAGAGGCACCCACCATGCCTTCTCCCTTGTTATTCTTTCTTACTCTCCCCAGAATCTCCCAGGCTGCACTCACAGTGGAGAGAGGGTGCTATCTCTGACCCACTTCAGGGGTGTAACCAACCCGTGGTCCAGAGACTTGGAAACATGGAATCAAATGGATTCACTAAAGACTACCCAAGTGCCCCCAGGCTGCTCCCTCGCCCTTGATTGAGTGCTGTTTAGTTTGAAGTAACGAGTGGTTGCTCAGCAGAGCAGTTATTCCTTCATTAATTCAACCAACAAACACATACTAAGGATTGTATGCGGTCAGGGTAGGTGCCATGCTGAACCTCCTAGATCCCACAAAATCTACACAGAGACCCTCTGGACGCCTCTCTAACTGTCCTTGAGCTCAGCTGAGTTCAGTGAAGCCAGGGAAACCCAAATGACCAGTTTCAAAGTATTCACTGCTGGGAGAGAGATCTTAAAGGTCTGGCATTTGAGCATGAGGTGATGGGAAAAAGCATTTTCCAGAAATTAGGAGCCACACGAAGCGTGATCTATTGAGCTTCTACTCAGAGGGGAGAAGAAGGAAGAAGAAAGCAGGCCCAAGGCTGAAGGAGCGTTCTGGCAGTTGCCTGTGGGTGACTAGGGGCATCTCCCACAACGGCGGGTGTGTGGGTAAGCGTGGTTCTGAGCATGCACTCTGGTTTCAGGCCTCCACGATCTGGTTCACCCGGACCTCACCCTGGCTCAGGACTGGTAAGAAGAAAAGCATCCCAGAGAAGAGAGCATGGGGCAGAGTGATGGCGTGATGCAGGGGGGTAATCTTGGCTCACTCGGATTCCAGGATCTACTGCGTCACGGATATCGACCCAGAGCACCGGAAGCTGAGCCAGCTGGAGGCCATGGTCCGCTTCCTGAGGGGGCAGGACCCAGACCTGCGGTGTAAGTGTGGCCCTGACCCCATCCTTACCCTCCAGGGTCCCAGGCTCAGGACCCTCCAGGGCTGTGTTCATGGGCTGGAATGCTGCCCCCTCACCTCATCCTGGGACTCGTGAACAGGACGTGTTCGCAGGAAAAGGCCAAGTCAGTGCACTGTGAGCCCAAGTTGGTGACTAGGACTTTTTGGAACCATGAGGTCTCCCACTGGAGGGACCGGGATCTCTTTAAGTCTCTATTTACTGCATGTTCTTATGACCAAAAAAACCTCTGCAGAGTAAGGGTCTCAGCCTGCCTGGCAGATGGGCCCTGGGCCAGCAACTACTGCGTAGACCCTCAGTGTTTTTGAACAGGAAAACATGTATCCAACTGGCCACTTTAAGTCGGTGGGTGCTTTCTAACCCCTGATTCTCAGGCTAACAGAAGGTCCCCACATTTCTGCGCCCACTGGACCAACTCTCAGCACGACTTTGGAAGGACCAGTCCTCCGTCCCCTAAGTGTTCACTGTACCACTGTCATCCTGTTTTCATCGATTTCCTCGAGCAGGCACCAGCAACGTCTCCTTCACCTAGCCCTGAGATTTTAGAAAGTGCCACATACGAGGCTCTTTCAGGGTCAGGAGAATGAGACCCATCATTGTTACTGGTTTTTGGCACACTGAACACGCCATGGGGAGTTTGCCAGACTCTGCCGTGTGGGCAGGATACTTTAAGTAGCCTGCCAGGTTCTCCCCTAAGTGCTCTCCCCAAGAAAAGGCTGCCTCCCCGACCAACCCCACGAGGCACCCACTTGTTCATGCATTTGTTCCATCAACAAATCTGAAAGGATAGTTCAGCTGGTAGGGTGCTTGCCTTGCCTGTGGCCAGTCCCGGCTCTATCCCTGGCACCACCTCTGGTCCCCCAAGCACCAGCAGGAATGATCCCTGAGTGCAGAGTATCCCTGAGCATCACTGGGTGTGTCACCAAAACAAAACAAGAGCTTATACAGATTCACCCCCCCCAAGTCTGGGGGTGGGCAATTGCCACGGAAGGTATCAGCCTTTGAGGGACATGTTGAAGGAGCATTTCTGGGTCCCTGCACTTCACAAGTCCCCAAAAGACCAACTCCGAGACTGAGTCCCTGTTGGGGGCGATTCATGTGGGGTCTCCTTCCCCATTCTGCTGTTGCAGGCGATGAGGAACTACTGCGAGAGGTTCTGTTCGACGCCGTGGTGACCGCCCCCATGGAGGCCTACTGGACTGCGCTGGCACTCAACGTCTCTGAGTAAGTTCTGTGGGGGAGGTGGAGGCAGGGTCCCGTGGGAAAGGGTGCAGGAGGGGTTGATGATGTGTCCTCCGGGGTAGAGGTGAGAATGTGCCATTTCCCCTCACACATTCTGGCTGGGAGCTCAGGAGAACCCCCCCAGCCCAAGACCTAGGATGAAGGGACAGCCAGAAGGGTCTCACAGCAAGCCGACAACTGCCGCTTCCACAGACAGCATGAAGCTCGGGTCCAAACGTGAGCCAGCACCGGGGGAGCAGGGAGCCCCGTGCTAAGAGCCCTCCTCTGAGTGCCAGGCACTCCCCAGGAGAATGTACTGGCCCAGAGAACAGGATTCAAGCCAGAGGCGTCTTGCAGTCTCCCGGTCAGCGGTTATAACTGATAAACTTGACCCTGGTATGCCCCAAGCTCTCAAATGTCCCCCTTCCATTGCTGATCTTTTCCGGTGTGATCCAGTTTCATGGAGTGGTAGAAAGAAGAGAGAGATGCTCAGTGTGGTGTGTGTGTGTGTGTGTGTGTGTGTGTGTGTGTGTGTGTGTGTGTTTATGTATGAGAGAGACAGCATCAGAGACAGAGAAGACCTAGAGACAGAGAGACAGAGGCAGAGACAGAGAGACAGAGAGGAGACTATAAGTGCATTAGGAGAAGTTAATTAGGTCAAGTGAACTGTTGATCATAAACAGGGAGATTCATTATCAATATCGTGAAGAAGTCAAGCTTCCCCTTAGCGTGCCCATAAATTAAGCAACACCACCCTAACTTCAACACCACGGACTCTTATAGAAGCAATCACCTATTTTTAAAACTCAACCTGCAGAAAACCGTGCATACTATGCTACCGTTTCTGTAAAAAGCAGGAACAATGTAGTAGGGATATGGGATAGACATAAAATATCTGTGAAAGACTGCAAGAAAATGAGTAACCAAAACAGGGAGGGAGGGGATATTTTCTATGCTATAAGCATCTGGTGCTGTTTTGAACCATGTACATTCATTAATTATACAAAATTAAATGCATGTAAATAAAGAAAGAAGGGACCTCTGCAAAGATAGATGAATGGCAAAACATGAGGCTGCAAATTAGACCCCCACCCACCCCATATGCTCTTCGCATCATTGCCCGTTGGGATCTACAACAAGCTGTGTGATCTCCAGCAAGCACCACAACTAAGCATGTAAGCAACACAACTTAGCCATGTCCCCTCTTTGCAACCACAACCAGAACAAGGGGTCAGGGACAGGCAATAAATGAAATAAAATGTTCTTAAGGGGCTGGAGTGATAGCACAGCGGGTAGACATTTGCACGCAGTCGACCCCTGTTCAATTCCCAGCATCCCATATGGTCCCCCGAGCACCGCCAGGAGTAATTCCTGAGTGAGTGAAGAGCCAGGAGGAACCCCTCTGCATAGCCAGGTGTGACCCAAAAAGGAAAAAAAAGTGCTTAAAAGGGAATGAGTACAGTGGGCAAGGTGTTGCTGTGCTGAGTGTATGTTGTTAACTCTTTGATCCTTAAGACAAACCTACAACAAGAGATATTATTATGATTCCATTTTACAGCTGCAGAAACCTAAGGACACTGTCTCCTCAGGGGCTGAGCTGAAATTACACCAGCCAGCCTGCTTCCAGGTCTTGATTCTTAGCTTCTCCATTTCCATTTTCTAGGAGGCACTTTCTAGAAGGTCAGGAGTACAGAGCTCCATCCTTCTCTTTTCAAGTTCAGACGTTGGCAAGAAATTGTTCATGCTGAGAAATATTGAGGAGCAAACATTCTTAACCAGGATGCATCTTAGAAAGGAGGATCTGGAGAATGAATATAAAATGAAATATGAATAAAGATAAGGAGATGTCTCAACATTATCTCCATAGACACAGAAAAAATTTTTTTATCAATTTGTAGTTTTTAAAACCACCCAACAGGACCAGGGAGATGGACCCATGGGCTGGAGCATGTGTCTTGCATGCAGGAGGCCTGAGCTTCAATCTCTAGCCAGGGGGAGGTCCCCCCAGGCAACATGCTAGGAGTAGCCACTGGGACACTGGCTGTGTTCCCCCCTCACACCCAAATTCAAAGAACACTAAATAAAATTAAATTTGAAATAAGCTTGAATGTCAACATTAAACCAAGTTAGAGGTTCTCTCTCTAAAGGCCGGAACAAGGCAAACAGGTCAGTGTCCCAAGTTCTATTTGACAAGTCAGGGAGCAGCCAAGGAAAAAACAACAAGAAGTGTGTCCATGTCACCTTTGTTAGGCAATGTGATTGTGTAGCTGGGATCTTCCAAAGAATTAGTAGAAGGTACCCTAAACAATAATAACTTAGAAAAGTAAATTTATAATAAGATCAACTGTCACTGTCCACTGTCCCTGTCCTCCCATTGTTCATCGATTTGTTCGAGCGGGCCCAGTAACGTCTCCGTCGTGAGACTTGTTGTTACTGTGTTTGGCATATCGAATACGTCACGGGGAGCTTGCCAGGCTCTGCCATGCGGGCGAGATACTCTAGGTAGCTTGCCGGGCTTTCAGAGAGGCGCAGAGGAATCGAACCCGGCTCAGCCGGACTGACTGTGCGCAAGGCAAATGCCCTACCCGCTCTGCTATCACTCCAGCCCATAATAAGATCAACATTCAAAATTAATTATCTCTCTGGAGGTGAGAGAGATAGTACAAGATTGAGATTCTTGGCTTGCAGTCAGTTCACGTTGGCTCAATCCCCAGCACGTGTTGTCCGCCCATGTACCATCAGGAGTGACCCCTGAGCACAGAGCCAGGAAAAACCCCTGAGCACCACCATAGGTGACCCCCCCAGATCCAAAGGAAAGGTTTATTCTCTTTGTTCCTTCTTAGAAGTCCAAGTAATTAAAGTCAAAATGGAAACTAAATGAAGGCTAGAAGATGAAAAGCATGTGTAAGAGACTAAAGAATAAAATATGTTTTAAAAATACTGACAAAAATAGCATAAATATTTCAAAACTTACAAAAGAAAAATTATCAGCCACTTCTGGAAGATGCAAAAGCGGTGCTGAGTAGGGAGTACAGGGGTTAATGCACTCACTTTGCATGTGGCAGCCCAATCCTCAGCATCACAAATTGTTCCCTGAGCAATACCAGGAGTGAGCCTGTTTACAGAATCAGCAGTAGGCACTGAGCAAGCTAGGTGTTGCCCCAAAATCAGAAGAACAAGAAATACAAAAGTAAATTTGAACAGATGGAAAGATACTCAGTGTTTTGGGGTAGGAGGCTTGGCAACAAGTTAATTTATAAACTGAATGCATCCCAATAAAAATGCCATCTATATCTTGTAGATTCTTCTATATACTTTGTAATGTGCATTTGGAGAAACAGGCAAGAATGGCCAGAAAATCTTCCAAAGAAAATAATGAAAGGTCAATCCTACAAAGATACAAAAATGTATTATCAAAGCACTTTAATTTTATAAAATGCGGCCATGACACATCAGTAGGCAAAGGGGACAAATCGAACACTTCATTTAAACACATGTGTAAATTGGGTATACAACAAAGATATCAGGTCAAATCAGTAGGAGAAAGATGGACTTTCAAATAACTGGTTTGAGAGCCATATGGAACATGATCAAATTGTGTCCTTTCCTCGCACTGTATAAATGGCTGAAATCCAAGTGACTCAGAGAGCCAAGTGTGAAAAATAAAGCCATATAAGTAATAAAAGAAATCATGAGCCAGTTGCTTTAAAATCAGGAGTGGGGAAACCTTTCCCAAAGATGACTCAAAGTTTGGAAGCAACCAGGGTTGACTAATAAATTTAGCAACATGAAAAGTTTTATTTGGCAAAAATAAAAACATTATCAAGGCGGGTAGGGGAAGACATGAGGAAAAAGTGCAACTTAAGAAACGAATAAAAGATGATTACATGCTTGTGATTACTTGAAAAACAGACACATGAAAGATCAACCACTTTGCAGAACAAAATAACTAAAAGGTAAAAACGGTTCACAGGGGAAATGTATAAGCAAACAGCACTTAAATATCTGAGAAAATACTCAGTCTAACTCTTCAGGGGCTGAAGCAATAGCACAGCAGGTAGGGTGTTTGCCTTGCACTAGGCCAACCTGGGTTCGATTTCTAGCATCCCATATGGTTCCCTGAGCACTGCCAGGAGTAACTCCTGAGTGCAGAGCCAGCCAGGAGTAACCCCTGAGCATTGTTGGGTGTGACTCAAAAAGGAAACAAAAAAGTAACTCTTCATAACAGGCATGCAAATGAAAAATGGTCCCCAAATTATATGTATCACTTGTCAGATCGATAACCATCAAATTAAGTGTGTGAATGTCCAAAGTAAGCCAGGTGATCAGACATGCAGATATTGTGAGCGGAAATCTTAAACATTTCAAAGCCTATGAAGAAAAGTTAATAAAACTCAACAAAGTCGCATATGCATTTCAGAGGGATGGTGACTGGCAGTAGCATTCATGATCGCATCATATGTACATGGTCCCAACACCACACTCACCACTGGAGTCCCCGAGTCAGTGTCCCAGAAACTACCTCACGAAGAGAACAGTCTCTCCCTGCTGCTATGAAACAGTCTCCGCAGGGAGAAGCGTGTCTACTGCCCCCTCTGCTCATCTAAGAAGGGGAAATGCAAATGTGTAGGGACACATGAAATGTGTATGAAATACCATATGCATGTAAATTGCACATTTGAGTGGGCTAATAAACAAACAGAGAAGATTACGATAAGAAGAGTAAAGAAATGGAAGACGAGGGCTGGAGAGATAGCACAGGTAGGGCATTTGCCTTGCATGCAGCCGACCCAGGTTCAATTCCCAGCATCCCATACGGTCCCCTGAGCACCACCAGGAGTAATTCCTGAGTGCAGAGCCAGGAGGAGCCCTTGTGCATCGCCAGGTGTGACCCAAAAAGCAAAAAAAAAAAAAAAAAAAAAAAAAAAGGAGGATGGAAAACAGACAGAATTTCCATCATATGCCTTATTCTGCGGCTTTGCAACCATGTAACCGATGCAAAA